ATCTGGTGCTGAAAGTGTAGTCTTGCTCCGTTACATAAAAAGTACGTGGCATAATAGTCTCCATTTCATGTTCCACAAGGATAGATTTGACTTGACCTGAGAAAAAGGCCCGAATCTTGCAGCCGTTGTCGAGTTGAATAATCATGGGGGTGCAACCATCCCTAACATTCACCTTTCTCACAAAAAGCCGAGATCCATTGGCTTCTCCATTCGGAACAATCGTGTTCTCTGTAAACACTACAGGACACCCCTTATATAACTTCAAAGCAGGATCAACACGTTTTCGTGAGTCCGAACCGCGTTTTAACGAGTCTTCTCCACTTGTTGAAAAGAAGTGCTTTAAAACCGAATTGCTCCTAACAGGAACCAGTGTCCCTGCTTGATTGGCCATTTGAAGATCGTCCATGAAAATGAGTACTGCATCCATCAGCACGGAATCATCAGCAGGTTTGTTCTTCCCGCAAATTTCTTCGAAGATAGCTGAGTTAATGGCATCTCGATCTCGATTCAGATAAGTAGCAACTTGAATGTTTTCTGGTGTAACATGGGTTGTGCCAACCACGCAGTCGTCATTGATGGTCTCAATATCTTTCTCTGTTGGTCGCCCTTCACGGAATCTTAAACAGCGTTGCCCCCATTCAGGATCGTCTTGGAAGCGGTGCATTCCATCTAACTCAATAAATGAATTCAGAGAGTCATGAATTTCAGGAATGGTGTGCTGAAGATTGTAAAATGGGGGGCGTCCCACTGGTTCAAGTTGAGAGTATTCCCCCGCGAACACCAAGTTAAGCCCCCCAAATGGTTGGTATTCGTCTTGCATCAAGGTCTTGGTGTAGTGCAATATCTTCACTAAGTCAAATTCCCCCGCGAATGAAATATCGTCGATGATAAGCATCAGTGAGTCACTCCATTCTTCTACAAAGTTCTTCGCCACACTTTCCCGAGATCTGTTCAATCCCACAGCTGGATGCGTTGTTTCCCCATGCAGTATTGTAGCAGCAACCCCCGGCATAGCAGTTACAACAATGGTTCGGTAGTTAAATGGATGATCAATCAAAATGCAGAATTCTTTGCCATATGCCAGGACTAAGTCAATTACGGTAGTCTTTCCCACTTCCTCCAGGCCCATGTGGAAGAAGAATCAGTTGGGTGCCACGACTTCCCTTCAAAATCAAAAAGTTTTTACTGAAGAAAGTCGGACTTTTGCCTTCAACCCCATATCCGGGGCTCCATCCTCTAAGTCCAACTTTTCAGCTTCCTCATAAAATTTCAACAAGAAGGCTGCAATGATACACTCGAAAGCCTTCTCTGTTTGTCGTCCAGTTTGGCAGCCGTTGCCAAGTCACTTATACTTACTTTTCACGCTTCCATTCGCCTGCGAACCTTCAACCTGCGGATTGTACTTAAATACCTTTGCCCTTTGGATGCACTCCCGTTTGTTAAGTAGGACTTCAATGATCTTGTGATATCGAGGTGTGGCGGTTTCACTTTGCTTTCTCTTTGTGAGTTGCCAGTCGTGTGAAGTCAGCACTTATGGTAACAAATTGTCTTCATCTAAGAATTCTCAGGAATGGGTAACTGCACTTGTATCCTGCGTTGTCGCTTCCATTGACGTATAGCCGTAAAACTAAGACCATCAATTGTGCTTGCCAGTAAGTCCCGGTTTGAATCTTTTGTTGTGCCCTGGCTCGTCAAGATCACGTATCCAATCTTCGTAAACCTTTGAATCAGATCATCTTCTCATGTTCGTGCTCATCATTCAGATTCGTTTTCGTACATTGTTCTCCTCCCAAGTTTCGGTCTATAGGGCTTGGTAACTCGTTGAAGATCATCCTTTTCACCTTATACCTCGGGTTGTTGAAAGCGTGTCTTAATGTTCTGGATGAATGACAGTCCTTTCTGAGAAGACGACGGGTTCTTCGTTATTCGCTTTTCTCAGAACATCGTATTTATACACTTCACGAAGTCTTTCAGCGGAAGCATAGTTGGTCTGGGTACGGACTTTCTTTAAATCAGCCAAACATCGATGCGGCAGAGTAAAAACCCAATAGCACTTCCGCATAAGTATCCATTCCTGGTTCAGTTCGCCAGTAGGACAAGTCAGGATATTCGCACCAAAACCGCACTGCATCTGAGAAGGCCCATTGTGGAACCGAAACCAATGCTTCTTCTTTCCTCAAAATTACTCCCGCTCGAAGTTTCACCAGTTAACCCCGTCGTCTCCTTTGATCGCTGATGAGATGCACGAAATGCCCAGTGTCAGCCAGTAAAAGGCCATTTCTCCTTATCATGTTCGCTGACGCTTTCGCCTGTGGACACTCTTCATTGGTCGTTCCTCATAAAGTTCGTAAAACCGCTTCACTGACACATTCTCTAGATCTTGTGTTTCGACACAGATAGTGGAGCGCCTGGTTCTAAAGATAAGCCTGACCTGTTTGGTGAATAACGTAGTTCTGATGACACTTCTTGTTTGTTCAACAAGCAACATACATCTTTGATCGGACATTAGAGAAAGCGATGTAGAAAGTAGAACCTTGATTTGTTCCGCGTAATGAATTGAGGCCAATGATGGACCAATGATATTTGACTTTGTATGGGCAAAAGCTGCACGGCAGATCCGACGAAGAGCCTCCTTTTCATCATCTTCATACACTCTTCCGTTTAGGGACTTAAAAGCACGCTCAACAGCGCATACTCGGCCGTGTCGTCTTGCTGCGTAGACTTGTTTGGTACTTCATCTGATACATGGACAAGGGTGCCAACCGTAATAAGGGATCGTTGCTGTTGCATGCAAACTTGGACTCTGAAATAGCCTTGACGACTGATTCTGGAACAAATCATACGCATTCCTTTTCCGTTGGAATTCCACTATAGCTGTTTCCGGGAACCTCCGGTCCAATCAAACCACTTGGTTTCTGTATTCAATGCAACCACCCTTGATTCGACCGAGGCCTGTCAGGAAGCCTGTATCGACATTCGCACTTTGGGGATGGTCCACATGTATGCGCTCAACCCAGCTTGTTGCACTTGAAGCTCCTTTGACATGACAAGAAGTATGATGTTGATAGAGAGCATTAATAATCACTGTAGGTGTTTCAGATACTGTTGCCCGATACTCTTCTGAAATCCACAACACGAGCCTTCATTCTGGGTTTTTGCACTATTTTCCCCTCATCACCGGTGTTCCTGATCCATTCATTCCTTCACACTGTCGTAAATACCCAGTCAACAGATCCTCTAAGTAAATTCGAATCCGCATGATCAAGTATGCAAACTTTCCCGATTCAGCGTTGTACCCTTCTTATGTCTTAGGTACCGGAGGACCTGATCCGACACAACCACAGGGGATCCCGAAAACTCTTGGGCACTTTACAAGAATGATCAGAAAGATCCAGGGGGGTTCTGGTATCTGTGGGAACATCTCTGTGTAGCCATCCGTTCGTGGGATCTTGAAAGGCACTTGTCGGAATCTCTTTCCGTTGCGATTTCGCTGCGCACAAAACACCTTCTTGCAGCTTAAAGAAATTCTTGATCCAAACTGTTAGATGGGTGTGCACTGACTTTCGCCTTGTTCTTCAAAATGCTGCCGCCATCGCCAACACTCCCCAAAAGTCCCGGCTCTTCTGTAACACAGTTGTTATGGCGGTCCCATCCTATAACTTCTTCACATAGAATGTCGAAAAACATATCAAATGGAGTGCTCCTAGTGCTGGAAAATCTAATCGAAGCTGTCTCCGTTCTTGCTTCGTTCTTGAAAATCTCCTCGCTTTCATCTTCCCAATCACCGTCAGGCCTTCCACTTCTTTCCCGCTTAGTACTTCCATTGCACACTGTTTTCGTCATCAAAGCTCACTGTCAAGATACAGTACCCGTGCCAAAGTAGTGGTTCATTGATTCAGCGGTACCTCTAGCCAACTTGCTGCTTCATTTTGTGGGCAGTGCTTTGCTGATAGCATTTACGGCATTCAGTATGCACTTGCTTGAAGTAGACCCGGCTTGATAATTCCCTGCTCTTCGACTTGATATAGCCTAGACACGTCATCTCCATCTAGACCTTCCGCAATTGCCTTTGCAGAAAACTTCCCCTTCAACTGAGTCGGGCTCTCTTGAAAAGTCGGATTTTTGTCCAATACTATACACAACCAACTGGAACATAGTGAATGAAATTCGGTTGGGACAGCTGACAAAAGTGCGCCAGGAAGTCTTCTGTGTTCGTCCAGTTCCTCCAACATCCGTCCTCCATGAGTCTGAAATCCTTCATACTTCCGACGCCATATGGGAAGTTCAAGCAAACACGACTGAATCAAGCATCAGAATCCGTCCCTTGTAAAAAAGCCTTTGTAGGATCATGCTGGAGCTGTAAATCGAACCCCTTCTCTTGCATCTCCTGGACAAATGTCTTGAACTCGCTCATGTTATCGAATCACCATTGGTCTCAGTAGCTGACCATCCGGAAAGTAGCAGCTGAAAATTCGTGTTGCTCCACATTAGAATTTCTCAGATTCGACTTCTTTACTCCGATCCACTATCACAGGTATCACACCCTCTAACTCTCAGCGGTACGCATCAAGATCAACGTTGTTCCAGCTCCGGTTATTATGTACCAGCCATTCCACAGCGCGCTCATTGGCATCTATTGTCGCGTTTATTTACGGGAGTAATACTCACGAGTTGCCTCTTCCTTCTTTTTGGGTTTCTGGCGTCATCTTCCCTGATAGCAGTATCACGAATTTCTTGTTCAGGCCCATTGCTTCTAGTGTGCCGTTGCACGACCAAACACATTGTAGTCTACCCGCATTATACGTTTAGAGGGTCAATGATTCCCCTTTTCCAAGAAGTTCTTGTCATTCCTCCGGCCAACAATGGAAAACAAAATAGAAAGGAAAAAGAGAAAGAAAGAAATAAAGAAAAAAAAGAAGAGTGAAAAAAAAAAAAAAAAAGGGAACAAAAAAGAACAGAGTAACCCGTTAAGAGATTTTCCACTGGCGTTATAACTACGTAATAAAAGGCCCTATTCTCGCGACTTCTGTTAAATATTCCTTGAAGACATATCAGGTGGCACATCAACAAAAAAGGTTGCGTTGTGACCAACAATAGTGCATATAGTGGCGTTTCAAGCTTCTCCTTCTTCAGTTACCCGTGACATCCTTTGCAACACGGGGACCTCAATAAATATGCCCCCAAATCTTCGGACTGTTGCGCCCTTTTTCCGTTTAAAACTCCACGTGTGGTGGAAAGCGCCAGTTCAACCCAAGCAATACCGTTCTGACATTCCCCCATTCAGAAACCCTCCGCAGTGTAGGATCCTTTTTTATTTCTGAACAGCCGTGGGGTAGGGTACTACGGCGAGAGAGGTATTTGGGTTTAACAGTCTTTTCCAACAGCCTTCACAAACGGGTAAACTCCGGATGACTTGGAAGACTTGTGTTCCCGAAACGTAGATGTTCTTAAACCTTCTTTAACTGATCGAAAAACAACCATTCCACATTGTTTTCTCATTGGATGGGTTTTCATCGCAACCGATAAAGCAGGACAATAGGGCGGTAAAGTCTTGGTCCATTGGAGTCCTCATCACTCATCAGGATTCTGCTCCATTATAGCGGGGACGGTTGATGCTTAGCCTGAAAGCGCCACTCCACGGTCTTTGGACATTGCCGATTGTAATTTCAACAAAAAGGCTCAAAAGTTGGCGAGACATGGACATTGGAAGGAAGGCTGTCCACCAAGAGAAGTTGGAAGACAGGAAGGGAAAAAAGGAAACCCACGAAGCACTGCATGTAGAGGCGGTAGAGGTAAACATCCTGCATTAGGAATTTTGTGGCTGGAAGAACGCACAAGCCTTCCATCTTCTCACACACGCGCTTTCTTCGCGAAAAACAGACATTTTCGCTGTATGCATCGTGTTAACTCGAAGCAAAATTGAACTCTATTATCTATACTCCGATGCTCCAACTTTTTTCAACGATGAGCTTTGTTATGTAACAGGATTCAGCTGACTATCATGCTAGGCAATTTTCAATGACTATTCTACAACCCAACTCAACATAATAGGTTGGAAAACAGCGTGAAGAATCTCTTTTTTCATTTCAGCGAAACCAAGTTCCGCACCCCCGGTTTTATGCCTAATCTGTATGCCTTGATCGTTAAGTAAAATCCCAGTTTTTTCGTTTACGTTTTCCGCGCCTCGGCTTCCCCTACTCTCTGTCTGCTGTGATAATATTTTCACTTTAGATGGATCATATTACCCCGGAAAATGCAAGAAAAAAAAAATATAAAAAAAATCCCGTAGGAGGGGCCCGCTTCTAGTTCATCTCGGTGGGTGATATGGGGATATAAGGCGACACTAAAAAATATCATTATTTGCACCGTTTCAAATACCATAAATCCCTGCCGGCAGCATTTGAGGGATTTCACACAACGACTCCAATCACCTCCCGACCGTACGCATGTTCTCTCATTGCTGGTCTACACATTCTTATAAATGGGGGCGGACAACGTCGGTTACGTGCGTATGGTGGATTAGTTTACCGCGTCCCTTTTAAATATTATTTCAATCGAACATCTTTCCACGGGAAATACTTGCGTTTCTAATGCGAAGGTATCGTGGCACCGACTTCCGCCTGCAAACGCCCCTTTCCCCCTTCGATTACAGGGTGTATTGTTTCACTATTGGATTTACAAGCGCTACACGATCTTCCCGCTGCAATCGTTTATCAGCCGGAGAATAAATTTCAGGGCCGGCAAAGACATCCCCGCTTTCTATATATACTTTGCTTTGCATTGAAAAATGTTTATAATTATTGAACCATTCTATCGCATCTATCATTCTGATGAAAACAGTCACAAAGATTATATTTCGGTTCAGCAAAACTTCAAACATCCCTCATCCTACCTAGCAGCCAACCAATCAGACATCTCTCCTGCCCACGTAAATACTTTCTATTTTACCTTCTTCTGTTTGACAATGTTTTGCCTTTCAACATGGCCACTCACCTTCTCTTTCGGGGACTTTTCAAGTTTTCATAACTACTTTCCAGCATTCTTCCCAAACACCCGTCATCAACACACGTCGTCGAAATCGAACCCCTACTTCCTCGGGTATCAACAGCAAGAGGAAAAAGGCCGGCGGCAAAAAAGCAAGAGGGCCTTTCAACTCCTGTGAGTTACACGCTGTAATTCCAAGCAACCTAAAGGAAGACAAAGAATCCCACTTCCCCGGAATGTTCCTAAAGTTCACAGGCTTTGTTGAAAAAAAAAGAATAGCACCGGTGTCTGGTTTCCTGTTACAAACGACGGGCAAAGGACCGACTCTCCTGTCAACGGCGTTGTGTTGGGTTTGGGGGTTTTTTTTTTTTTTCAAACCCCAAGGACATTTGATGGCTTTTTGTTCAGACCTCGCTGACAAGCAATGGATCGAGTGTGGTTATATTCAAGTTGGGTGACCCCGCTTCTGCTGATGGGGAAAGCTCCTTATGTACGAGGCCACCAACGGTACTTCTTATGACCAAAAAGGCTTTGTTATCATGTGCCCCAGAGAAGAGGGTGAACTTGAAGAAACAAAAGGACTGGTGAAGTTTCTTAACCAGCTCCCTCAACCCCAGAAAGAGAAAAGAAAGGAAAGAAGGAAAGAAAAAAGAAAAAAAAATTGGCCTTGTGTTGAAGTGGTTCAATGGAACCTTTAAACCGGCCTACATGCAATACGTGTAAGACACGGCAAAGAAGGATGAACCCTACTTAGTTCTCGACGAACAGGACAAGTGTTACAAGGTCCATGACACCTAGAGTGAGCTGCTCACCCACTCCAACATCATGACTCACCTTGTGACGGAATCTTGGATCGATCAAGGCGAAAACCGCACTGTATCCGAATTTCTCAAGGACGACAAGGGCAATGTGTAATCTATTTGGCCTAGTGGTCAACTCCCGGCTTCACGTATTACGTCCGTTGGTTTCACCAAAACAACCTTGGATGCATCGGACTTCGGTCGCATGCGGGCCATCATTGGTGCCCGTCGCAACATTATTACAAGCCACTAAGCACGCACACCATCCCCCGCCCCCACTTCTACTCCACCAGTTCGCATTCAAGCTGCCACACTGGACCTTCCCCATGGTTTTGCAATACCCCCCGGCAGCCTTTTGATACTTCTTGGGGAATCTTCTGGGAAGGGAAAAGAAAAAAAAAAAAGAAAGAAAAAGCACCAGCAGAGGAATGACGTGGTAGTCTCCTTACAGTTAGTAGCTTACAGTTATATTATTTTAATAATAAATTCCCCGTGCCCTCACTTTCAAATCCTCAATGCTGGACCTCCCAATATTATTAGCAAACCATTCCCAGTTCTAATGCAACCAAATACGTCTTCTCCCGTCCCACCTGTTACACGAACCACGTCGGCCATTTTGTCACCTGCGAATAGTCATAATGATGACACTCCACAATGTATGAATAAAGCTGCCGAACTTGCTAACGATCCTATTACCAAATACCCCAGTTCCGACGAAGAGAAAGAAAAGTAGCGGGAAAGGGGGGAAGCATAGGAAAAAGAAGACGCCAGCTCCCAGCGGAAAAAAACGAGGGGCCCAACCCTCCACTTAAACACACGTTGAATTCGATAAATTGCACCCAATTGCAAAACCTAAACCCTAAATATAAGCCACATGATTCATTCGATTCTATTCACCATTATCCTGTATTAGTAGACAAGTTGAACTAGTACTGGAAACGGAGACGACCCAGGGGGCATATGAATGTCATTATTTTCGTCTTGTGATCAAGATGACTCTTCATCCATGTCGTAGGTTCATTATGACTATTGTTTGGATTCAAGAGTGAAATGTTAGTCGCGGCACCAATGAGAACAGGTTTGGGAACTTCGCTTTGGTTGTTGGCTTCGGTGGTTGGCGCCGCCAACCAATTGGAGGTCGAGGCCTTCTCATACCACCGGTACGTCTACCTCTACCCTCATCTTTCTATTGACCATGACGACAATGGCGGATCCACCAACAACGATCGCCACTGCTGCTGATGATGATGGCTATCGAATTTTGGCCCTGTACAAGTTTGTGGATCCAAAGTTGAATGCCGATGATCTACCCGCTCTCAAGCAATCGATCGAATCGCACTGTCGAGCCCATCACGTGCGAGGGAGTCTGTTGTTGGCACCCGAGGGCATTAATGGAACCATTAGTTATCCATGCAAGTCAACTACGGAAGATCCAGTAGTGGCCTTCCTCGAGTCTCAGTTTCCTGGACTTCGGACGCGTATTTCGACCAGCCAGGGACATGTCTTTTACCGTCTCAAAATTAAGGTCAAGAAGGAAATATTGACGTGTCGAACCACTACAACAGCCACAGAAACTGAACAACAACAACAACAACAACAACAACAACCACAACAACAAGAGGAACAAGATCTGCTAACTCTGGACCCCACACAACAAGTCGGTCAGTACGTGCCACCGGGTCCGGAATGGGACGCCCTTCTTCGAGATCCCGATTGTCTCGTCATTGATGCCCGCAACGATTACGAAGTACGGATTGGGACCTTTCAAAATGCACAAGATCCCAACACGTCCACCTTTAGTGAACTCATTCCGTGGATGAAGACGGCGTTGCAAGAACAGAAACCAAAAAAGGTGGCCATGTTTTGTACTGGTAAGATTGATGCAACAATGCATGTGATTTTTTAGACTTTTCTTGGGAATATTTTCTCACTTCTTTCTTCCATCTACTTTTATAAACAGGCGGCATTCGATGCGAAAAGGCCACGGCGGCATGCATGGATTTGGCACGACAACAACAGCAAGAGGACATTCCCGTCTATCATTTGGAGGGTGGCATCTTGGCCTATTTGGATACCGTTCCCGCGAAAGAATCGCTCTGGCAGGGTGCCTGCTACGTCTTTGACCAACGGGTTGCCGTCACGCACGGTCTTCAAGCCGCACCCCATTATACCATGTGTCATGCCTGTCGGGCCCCCTTGTCCCACGAGGAACAAGAGGGACACCCGGACTTTATTCACGGCCTCCAATGTCGGTATTGCAAGGTTGCACGATCCCACAAATCCGTCGAACGAGCCACGGCACGACAAAAACAAATCGAACTGGCACAACAAAAGGGACTCTTGCACATCCATGATCCCAAAGAAAAAGTACTGCGAGTGTTGGCACAGAAGGATGGTGTTGTTGGGGATAGTGGCGACGAGGAGGCTCCGGAAATGTTGGCTTGATTTGGCGGTTGCTTTGTTTCAGGTATCATTATTGTAATGTCCCATCATAGTTTAGGTTATGGAATTTATGATGTGTTCGTGAAAGGGTTGCCTAGCTATATTAAAATTATACTAGCCCCTTCTATTTGTACATGTTGTTGCTACACGTTGGTGTGGCTATCCCTCCTTTTCAAGCGCCTCCTTGATGCTATCCCAAAGTTCGGCTGGATTCTCGTGCGAGACGTCTTCTAGGACTTGTGCCATGGGCGATTTTGGTTTTTGGCCGGCTTGTTGTTGTGCCAATTCTTCCAATTGTTGTAGATTGTGACAATGAAAGACGCCCATCATTTCACTGGCTCCTGCCTTGCTCGCCGGTACAATGTTGGGCGATCGTTCTCGGGACCGGACAAAGACAAACACATCCACATTGACGCATCCATCATTATTGCTGCTGCTGCTCGCAGTGTCCTGGTTGTCGTCGGCATTGTTGTTGTCACTACTGGAAGTGCTGATGGGTCGATTGACCATGCAAACATTGTGCGGTGCATCCCCGATACACGACAGTACGGTCCAGAGAGCCTTGCTCACAGCGTGCAAGGATTCTACCGTTTTGGCGGGTGTCGTGGTGGACCCCGTGGAAAGTTGGACACAAAAGCAGGGATAGTCCAAATAGCTGACTTCCACCAAGGATTCTGGCTCCTCCTCATCATCATCACTGGATGTTGCGGAACAAGGTGCCATAATGTCGGCAAAATCCACAATGGAATTGACCCGTGATGCTGCATAGCAGGACCAACCATGATGAATGGCTTTATAGGATGATGGATCCATGTTTTCCACTTCTGCATGGTCGTGATCATGATCATCGTGATCATGATCATCATGAACATGATCATCATCATCATCATCATTGTTGCTCTCTTTTGCTGCAGTGTCTGTTGGTTGTTGCTGTTGTTGCTGCTGATTGAACTCGTTCATCATGAGCAATGGAACAGGCGGAGTCGGCCACAAATGACAGTGAATATGATTTTGACTCGCTCCCGCTCCGACACTGTTAAAACAGACCAGTAAACTTCCAATGGGTCGAATCGATGCCGTCAATCGAACCAAATCATGACAATCCGCCTCAACCAACGCCTGCCCTCTCCAATTGATGTCGGGCGAATCGTCCAAATTGGGCACGAGGAGAAAATGCCCTCGCACATCGGCGGGACTGATATTGTGATAGACATCCCATTCGGTGGTCAACGGTGGCAGCGACAATCGTGCCACGCGCGGACGGAGTGCCAACCGCAAGGGTCCCGTGACAAAGGAATCGGTGGAGGCATCATAAGAAGGTGGAGTGCTGGTGGTTCGGAATTCCTCATTTTGGGCATTATTGGATCCAAACCCCGGCGACGGTGGCGGTCGGAGCGTCCGTACCAGTTGCAATTGGGCGGCAAACGGTCCATCGAAGCGACATTGAATGCCTGTACTAGAAGTAGACTCCTTGTCTTCTGGTAGCAATCCAGCGGCTTGTTGGAGTGTTTGATTCATGGCGGCAATTTTGGGATGCATGGGTTCAGTTGCAGTAGTATGATTATTGTCACTGTCACTGGCTGGTGGTTCTACAAATTCCATAAAGGAATTGGGAATGTGTGGATGCAATCGCACTCCATATCGCACATCAATCATTATTTCATTGTCTGTGTCATTGTTGGCTGGAACAGTCGTTGTGACAGCCACTTGTTCTCGTTGCACCAAATCCATCCATTTGGTGGAAAGGTCCACCGATGCCATGCCATAGCTCACTCGTTGATTCCAAGATAATCCGTCACTGTCACCGTCATCATTGTCGTTGTCGGTATTCACTTCATCCGTTGTATCTTGGACTTCTTTGGTAGTATTCTGATAGACATTTCGTTGTCGATCTCGTCTCAAAAAGGCTGGATTGATGTTTCGACTGGACTTGAGTGCTGGCATCCTGTTCCGATGTTGGAGATGACTTGTAGGTAGAAAACAGGCGCCACCTTGTACCCAACTGAATAACAGTAACACAGGCAGACAATGAAAGAATTCTCCTACAGCCAATGACATCCTAACTCGAGGATGAATACTACACACTTGCTATAGATCTAGCTACTAGCTAGAAGTGGGTCTGTGTCATCCGACCTTCCAACCTTTGCATAGGAATGGGTTTGGAACAGATCGGTGTTGGATGTTATCTGAAGTGTCATGTTGCGTGTTGCATGTTGCCTTGTTTTGGTCTCCTTCTTGGAAGTGCGTCAGTTTGGGCGCACAGCTGTACGGTACCGGTGCCGAAAAACGAGCGAAGGACAGACAAAGTGTGGGTGAAGTTTCGCACGAATGTCGCAGTACCGTTCTGAGCTGCTTCTTTGGCAGCTGGACCTGGTGTCTTCCAGTACAGTCTCTCTACTGAACTCCCAATACAAGAACCGTTTGGCACGGTCAATGACCTCATGCGCAGCTCCTCTACTGCGTTGACCAGGTCTTTTGAGATGCCTCAAGACCAGTTGGGAACCCTGTACATAAAGGTGCGACTCCAATGCGGTCTTTGAGCCGTGTGCATGAATCTGAGCAACGGCTCTTGCATGGAGCTTGCATGGTTTAGGCCCTGTTCACCTACCTCTATCACTTCGGATTAGACATAAGCAAAAGTCACCCCGCTCGTCCGTTGGGGTATTTGGTACCGTTCCATTTACGTGATGTAAACAGAACGGATCTATTTACTCACGTAGTCATGGCGGACAGTAAACGGAACCGTTCCATAGAATGTAATCGGATCAGTTCTGTTAACTTCTCGAACCTTCTCGGAACGTAATCGGAACCGTTCCGAATACTGTCCGCCTTAAACTGTCATTGGTGTGGTATGGTTGCTGCCTTTAAAGAGGTTCTGGTCTTTGAACACAATGTGCCCTTTCATTTCATTCCTAAAGTAGTCAGCTCATGAGATTTCAGACAAGTGCACCATGTTTCCAACACCAACTAATCCACGTATCCAGCCTTCTACAGAAGAAGTCAGTTGGTTGGTACCTTCCATTAGCCTTGAGGATGTGGAGGGGAATCCTCCAATTGACCTTTGCTGCATGTTCTGCTTTGATGGAGATTATGCCAAAACTGCAGCTAAAATGGAAACAACAAAGATCATACTTCCTCCTTCTATCTATGAACCTGATCCTGACAAGAAAGATGTTACTCTAGACTTGATCATCGACAAAGCTATGAAACATTCTGACACAACTCTTATCAAAGGCAAGATGACAAAACTGTTGGCAATGAGATTCACTACTATTTACTTTGTGAATGCAAGCGAAAATACTACAGTCAACGGGGCGCCACAACATCGGCAAAAGAGAACCAAAAGGAAAACTTTAGACAGGATAGAATAGTCGACAAGGGGAAAGGTAGTCGAGGTCCAGATGGGAGGAGCTTTCCCCGCAGAACCGAGACATCTAAGCCCCACAAAAAATGCCCTGTTGAATTCAAATTGAGGTTGATCCCTGGCCAGTACTGTACTTCAAGAGAACTCGTAAGGCACTGGGTATTCACAACCATTCTCGAACTCCATTTGTTGACAAACATAGAAGAATGAAAACCTACTCGCAGGAAGAATTGAATCTGGCCCAAACGTATAGCCAAATCTGTCCTGCCGGTGCCGCGATGGCTTTGACTAGCAAGGCAACTGGCACCCTAGCACCTTCCAAAGATCAGCTCCGTTACAACAAGTCTCCCACTTCTAACAAACATGTATCCCAATCCCAGGCTCTTATCGAGTACCTCAGGGAGCAAGTATCTTTGAAGAAGATGAGATTCGTTGCATTGTATCACGAGGTCACTGAGACAAGTTTGCTAACCATTTCAAAGGCCAGCATGAATAGGAGGGCTCAACAGATGAACAATGAGGGTGTCTTTGATGAGGACCTGGAACAAGCTCAAGATATACAGCTCACCTATGAGGACTCCAGTTCCACTGTCCAGCAGCTGAGACTTAAGTCAGCTGCAGAGAAGGTTGGTATTGCAGAGGCACTATTGGCCATGAAGCAAGATATGCAAGTGGGCAAAAAGGTGTTCCTTGCTTGTGCCTGGTGCACTGAAGAAGAGAGAAAACTGTTTCAGAAGTATCCAGAAGTTCTTATGGTTGATGTAACGTTTCAAACAAACAATCAGGGAAGGCCTCTGTTTACAAGTTGCTCACCAGGCAGGGACATGTTCTTCTTCACACCATTAAGGGCCTACTTACCTTCCCAATGTAGGTGGGTCTTCAGTTGGCTGTTTGGAAGTGCCATACATTGTTACTTGGCATGTACTCTCTTGCAAGAACTCAGCTGGTGCTCAGTGACGGTGACCCAAACATCTATCTATCGTTTGAAGAACACCAGCCCAAAGCTTACCCAAATGCCATTCATGGATTGTGCATTTACATCTTGTGACCAAACCACTGGCTGAAGCTGGAAGTAAATTGGTAGGGAAGGATGATCCCTTTGTATTGAATCAAATCGAGACTTTCAAAAGATGGGTCTTTACCTGGATGTGTCTTGGAGGAATTGAGACTGATGAGGAATTTGAAATCTCACATAGATTGTTGGTCCAGTGGCTGAAGGCATTTCGCAATGATGATGCGACCGAAAGAGCCTCTGAGGACCTCAAGCACAACTCTTACCATTTGGAGCTCGAGCTGATCCGAATCATGAACCACAAGAGCCGTTGGTACTTTCCAAGTAGACGCCACCAGGGTATTGGACATTATCCAATCCAAATTGAATTTCCAATGTGGGCGCACGCAAAGGCTTGAGGGCATGATCACGAAGGGGTTTGTCCTGGAAAGCGTTCGTCACTGACAGGGGTGGATAGAACTTCATTCTACCAAAGATGGCCAGATCACCACAAAAGCTCATATACTCCGGCAAAAAGGGAGTTGGAAAGGCTCCTTTTTGGCTGGATCAAGAACATTATCAGTTTCACCCTGGAGGTAGCCATTCTCCCATAGACCAATATCTGTTCCAAAAATACAGATATCAAAATTGGATGACAATAGCTTCGTGAGATCAGCCTTACGCTCATAGATGCCCTTGACGAGTGAAGTCTGCTTCACAAGGCAAAATTTTGGGGGACGCGACTGCTGGCCATCCGGAACGGGAAGATTGCCAATGCTCTGGCGAAGAAGCTGGCAATTACTTGATTGATGTGTGGCACAACCAAGTGGGATGGCTTGTCTTCCGTGGCGGCAATAGCAGTAGACAGTGTGTCCATCTGATTGTTGGCAATCAACGTTTGGAGTTCTGCATTGAAACCGGGATGATCGAATGAATTTTTTTGTGGATCGATCCATACAAATGAGTGTTCATGAGTTTGAACTCCTGTCATGAAAGTCTAAGAGCTCAAGGATGTCATACCGATTCTCAAAGCTAATTTCTTCATGGTGTTCAAAGGCGGCCTTCTCAGTACCATAGAGCTCATAGTCAATGAGTTGTTCGGAACCACAATGAGGAAGACAGAGTTCTGGAGTTTAAAGTTCTTCAGCAGTTGACTCTGATCCCTGCCTTCTTGAACCTTTTGCTTCTTCCTGTCACTCCGCTCCCCAGGAGATAAATCCAACTCAGGTCTCCCACCAAGAGATGCCATGGTGCAAGTGACTGGAGCAGAAGCAAACCGCAAACAACAGTGGAACCAAGAGTAGTAGTAGTAGCAGTAAAGTAGTAGAAACCACAACAACAGCAGCAACAACAAACAAGCAGAGGGATCAAGCAATGGTTGGGTGAGGTGAAAGAGACTTGGTGGAGTGTGGTGGATGACTTTTGTAATGGATGCTGTTGCTGTGCTGCGGCGCAGAGTAAATGGAACTGTTCGACTACTCCACGGTATATCACGACGTAAACGGAACTGATCAAGTTACTCTATGTAAACAGAACTGATCGAAAATCCCACGGTAACGATCGAAACGTAAACGGAACTGTTCCAACTACTCCACGTAGCGAAAACAGAACTGATCCAGTTACTCGATGTAAACAGAACTGATCCGAACACTCCACGATGACTATCGAAACGTAAATGGAACTGTTCCAACTACTCCACGGTATATCACGTAGCGTAAACGGAACTGATCCAGTTACTCAACGTAAATAGAACTGTTCGAAATACTCTACGATGAGAGGATCGAAGCGTATTTGGAACTGTTACATTTACTGAGAGTAAACGGATCGATTCCATCTACCTTGCGCCTGCCTGAGAGAGCAGGGTGAGTTTTGCTTATGACTAATCTAAGCTCTGGCGTTGCGCCAAATGCGCCTCACAAATCCAACTCACAAACCATCCAGGAACAAAACACAAACCACGCATCCAACAAGGCAACTTGTTTAGAGAAAAACCTCACCAACAACCATAATAATCATAATGAAGCAACGAGCTGACTCTCCCACCCGCGGCAAGAACTCTCCCATCACTACTTGCTATAATATGAAGAAAAAGTTGACTGCCGCCGACGCCATGAACGTGCCACCACCCACCGGCCTCAAAAACTGCCGAGGATTGTCGGCTGGGAACAGACCCGCTCAAAAGACACGACGACGACGATCCTCTTTCAATACGACTTTGGACATCGAAAATGATCACAAGAGACCGGCCGAACGATTGCGCGCCTTTTTCCACCGACGGGATGACGACGACAGTGATTATGAAGAAGAAGAAGAAGACGCCATGTCCGGTAGTGCCACCGATCGTCTGCGAGCCATGTTTTTCCAATCCAGTTTCAGTCGCAACAACAGCGACGATGACAGCGAAAGCGACGACGAGGAGGACGATGATGATCTGAGTCTTTCCGCCACTGATCGACTCAAAGCCATGTTTCAATCCAGTTTCAGTAGCCGTCGTGACGAAGATGACGAAGAGGATTTCGACTTTGGCGGCGTGTACAAGAAATCACCCCGTCCACTATTGAATTTCTTTTCTTCGGGAAACAAAAAACGCTATTCCGACACGGACTCGGGTTTCCTCGTCACCACGGCCATGGAGACAGATTAGAAATCATAGAGAGGATCAAAGAGTGGCCAAACATACACCCAACAGAGAATAGGTGCAACCGGTGGCATTTCACTGATGATACACTATTACATTCTTCCACGCACGCACATGTACAGAAACACAAAAAGATAATACCATTACTATATAAATTAGGTCAAACAAACAAACAAACAAACAAACAAACAAGGATACACCTGAGCAACTCTTGTATATACTCGCTAGCTACTAGCCTTGATTGTGTGGATGGATTGCGAGAGTGGAATCACTAGCTAGGAGGAGACGGAAGCTTGAGGGCACACCGGAAGCACCTGAACATATTATTAAAATTGACTCTAGCGAGGGAATTTATCGAGCCACCAGTGCTTTGGGGCACACTGTCTGGCAAAGCGTGGGCCACCCACCCCAATAATGATGGAACAGATCCACGAATCATTGGATCGAAGCCTTTGCTTTCCCCAACGAGATACAGTGAACCCCTTGCATCTGGGTCCTTTTTCAGGGTCCACCAGAAGGATTGCTGGTCTGCTTTGAACAGGCAGGCAAGAGGTGTGATCACTCCAGTTCCCTGTTACAGCTTACAGTACTGCTAGCTTAGAAAAGTGTGAGTAGCGCAAAAGAGTGTCATTGGTTTTGCTTTCCTAGCTAGTAGCTGGCCGTTGAGTCTTCTGCATTATTATTATTATTTATTCGTGTTGGTGAGCACCAGTTGCACCACAAAGCATTCAGGAGGAAAGTCGAACAAGAAGACCAAGTGCCGGCGTCTTCTTGTCTGTTTGGTTTCTGGAAGTGCGTTGCGTCTTCTTTGTTGTGCTTGTGCGTTACTGTGGCACTTGAGATCTTTCGAAGCTGAAAGGATGACAGACACGTCGACTCGTTGCCAAGATGTGAAGACTCGGAGAGTCACTCGAGTCTGCTGGGGGTGCCACACCAACGAGGCACAAGGCGATCGATTCAAGCAGTGTCCACTCTGTGCCAAGAATGGCTTTGTACCAGCTCTCTTTTGCTCACAAGCTTGCTTCAAGAAATCTTGGCCCGACCACAAACAATGGCATAAGAACGAGGGAGCAAAGGCGAAGGACAAGTTGACCGGAACCGCTCAAAAAATTTCGTCGCGGTCACTACACCTAGAGCCTTCCTCCTCCGAGTATCAGAATCTCCTCAATGAATCCAATTCGAAAGTGGCCGAAGGTGACTTCAATAGTGCAAAGAAAATCCTCCAAAAGGCTCAGAAGATCGATCCAGCACGTCCACAAGCGTATTTGATTTTGGGGACACTCTACCAGACCTGCGAGGAATCCAAATCATGCTATGAGCAAGGTTGTCAGCGGTCCGCAATTCTCGCTCTAGCGAATACACAAGTTGACAATCACGTCGAACAAGAAAAATCCGATATCACCTATTGGTGGGCTCTTTCCGTTTCTGGAGTGTTCATAAAGAGTTTCGAACTGGACTCCTCCCGAGACAACCATTGTCCGAAACCAAACTCGTGGCGCCATGATGGCATGTTCAAACGAATCACAAAGGTGGCGCTCGATGGATACTGGTACAACAAGGCGGGCTCCCTCTGCTCAAAGTTGGTGCAATGTAAGGGCCCCTCCACTTTCACCAATTTGGCTGCCATGAGGGCATTTGCTCTTTTTGCATGCTTTCGAGATGATGAAAGTTCGCCCTTGAAGCGTACAGCTGAAGAGCTTGAGGAGCTGACTGCACTACGCTACTATGTATCTGAGAATGATAAAGGACTCCTCGGCTTTTTTTTTCGAGAGAGTGCAGCGGCCAAGATTAATGCAAATGTCATTGACGAGGCCGACAGCACGGCTTTGGAACGAGGTGAAGCTGGCTTATGGGTTGTGATTCATGGCCTTGAGAGCCAAGCAGGTCAGGCAATGAATGGCAAATTTGGACTGGTTTGTACGGACGGGTTGGAAGACGGCCGGGTCACTGTGAAGGTGGAAGGCATGGATGGATGGAAGCGGATCCGGCCCGACAAAAATCTAGTGGAAGTCCCCTTTTCTGAGGAACAAGTGGCTCTCATTTCAACAATCGAGGAGAACGACCAGTGGAAGTTTGTCAAATCTTCCCTTGAGCTCCGTGAGGCGCTTTGTTCCATGGCAGAATGAACGCGGAACGAATGACAGGTTGTGAAATTTGAGCTAGAAGAGATACCAGCTGTCTCTTTTTGTTGCACCGAGATCCAACCGGCCATGGGGAAATCCACGGCATGCATGAGAGTTACTCGCTCCAATTTGATATAGAAATGAAACCACAACTTGTAGAGGCTTGCAGAAGCTTGCAAAAGCAACTTCTTTAGACCACTAAGTGTGCTGCGGAATGCGTAGTTTGAGAGCTACGTATTTCCAGGCCGTCTGGTCCGTTACCTGATTAGCAATCCCAGCAAGCATGAAGCCTTCACTAAAGATCAACCTTGGGCTTGTCCTGCCACCTGAACTTCGTATTGCGCACAAACGCCTACTAGCTGGCTTGTCAAACACAGATACCGGTACCGGGAGAGTTAGAAGGAAACGTCATGCGAACCCAGATCTTTGCGATGGGAAGCCGAAAGCATGGGGAGCATGGGAAGCCCAAAGCAACTCTGTTCCGAGCTCACAAAAGCAATCAAGCAACGACACTTTGAACCATGAGGGTATTGAACATTGCATTCTACGTGCTAATTTGCGTGGCAACGAAGCAAGATGTCTTGGTAGATGCCTTTGCATCGCCAGCACGAGCATTGGCTCCGCCACTCTCGCCTTTAGTTGGCAGCAGCTTCCAGGAAACGCGTTTCTCTCCAAGACCAGTTTTCCAATCAGATACAGTTCTCTTTGCGTCCACCCCAGACGACAACATGGAAACTTCAGGTGTGAACAAAATGCAAGTCAGTACAATAGCGACAGCTTCGACCTTGACTCTGCTAGTGTTCTGGGCAGCGTGGACCGCCATACCCCAGGAAGTGGTTGCGATGCAAATCAGTACCTCCGTCGTTGGATCCGCATTGATCGCATTTGCCCACGTATTCTCCGTCTTGGCAATCACTGGATGTCTCGTGGCGGAGCGTTTGCTGTTCAAAACGAACATTACCCAAGAGGACGAGGACAAGCTTGTACAGATTGATTTTGTGTATGGGATTCTTGCCATGGTGCTCATCGGTTCGGGATTTGCACAGGCTGTTCACTTTGGCAAGGGGGGCGACTTTTACATACATGAATCTCTGTTTTGGGTCAAGATGGCACTGGCTGGTATTTGGGGTGGCTTGTCTGCATTTCCCTCTTTGATCTTGTTTCGACTCAAACGACAACGCGGTAAAGACGGAGAAGAAGAAGAACCACTGCAACTCTCAGAGGCATTGGTGTCGCGGGTGCACAAGGTAATCCATGGAGAGCTTTCAGCAATTCTGTCTATCCCTCTGCTTGGTACTCTTATGAGCCGTGGCGTTGGGTACTCAGCCAACTTTCCTTGGCAGACGGCTGCTGTGGTGTCGGTGACAGCAATGGTAGCATCATTTGCGTTTTACGGGTGGCAGGCCCTGTCATGGTCCGACGAAGCACTTGAAGTGGGTGAAAAGATGGGTGGAGGGGAGAACAGAACACTTGCAACACACTAGCCAGGAGCAATGGGAAAATACAGTCTTCTGTTTCGCACACTTTTGAACTCGCCTTTCTCGACTGAAAGGAATGCTGTCTCCCCTATATTTCATTCGAGCTCGCGCTACAATGCCGGAATAGCTCCAATTCAATATGCTATTTAAAAGAAGCAAGGAGTTGCACGTTGTCACCAAATGAATACAGTTGAACTTATGTAACGCACGCGCAATTCGCGATTATATCCTTGCAACACGTAGCCAAGTTCCATTCTCAATGGACGTGAGCTAGTACGATGCATTGTATCCACGGTGCGCGAGGCGTTGTGACCGCCACTCTTTTAGATCACGTCCCTCGGTTCCATACCGTCGTAGTCATCGCCGTTTGTTGTCAACTGGGTGCTTCTTTTGGCATCCATCTAAAACTTTTGACCTACCGGTGCTATACCGCAGGGGCAATCTTGCTGACGCAAGGCACGTTTTCCAAAATCACCTGGTCCGATCATTCCATTCGATTCAAAGGTCGACAACAGCAACCGAGCCAAGCTTCCTCTTGGTGTTCATCTAAGCCGATTGACTCAAAGGAAGCAAACTGTCGTATGCCTTCAAAACTCACAAGAGGCAGACTGCCGTCGTGTTTCTAAAGCGCCTCACTTAATCGTCAATCGATTATACGCCCAAAGCAGCAACCAGGCCAGCGAAAACCAGGGCGAGTCCTGGAACAACTGAAACTCCAGCATCAGCAGCCCTGCTGTTTGTAGGTGGGTCCGTTGGCGCTGGTTCTGGGAGGGGAAACTCGGGAAAGTCAAAGGGCGCCTGAGTGGCAAATGGAGGACGGGTCAAGACCCAACGAGGTGCGTCCGTGGGAGACGCCCCGGAGACGGCTATCGGTGCTGGTACATTTGTTGTCGGTGCTGGCACATCTGTTGTCGGTGCTGGCACAGTTGTTGTCGGTGCCGGAACACCTGTCGGATTCGAGATTACCACGACGTCACCTCCGCCACTAGTGGGTTCCTGTGTCGGTGCTGCTGGCACTGTTGTCGGTGCTGCTGGCGCACTTGTCGGATTCGAGATTACCACGACGTCACCTCCGCCACTTGTGGGTTGCTGTGTGATACCCGATACGCGAAAGGTGAAATCGGAGCCAACCTGCTCCAGTACCTCAATGACAATGCCAGTCTCCACAATGTTGCCGCCTTGGTACGAGTCCGTGTTGGGATAGACGATGGATCCATCACTTTGTTTTCCCGGACCCAACGTGTCCCCAGGTACAAAGAGATCTCCTTCATCCCCATAATTGACATTCAATTCCAGATCATAGTTGCCATCTTTCTGGACGACAGCCACTTGATAGTGGTTTCCATTTTGTGGCCATCCATCCTGGCCTTTGTAGCCTCTGTTGTTCATGCCTTCGGCTCCGTCATCGACATGGACAATCAAGAGGCCAGATCCCCACAAGGGTTTTTCAAAAAATCCAGTGGGTTGTCGATTTTCAATCAACAAGTATTCTGCCTTGCTGTCAAATAATCCGTCCGCGGTCTTCAAAAGTTCAATGCGATAGGCACTTGGATTGTCGTGTGCCGGTTGAACCGTGTAAACTCCATCCTTGGTGATGAGCGTGGGTGTGATCCATTCGGCTGCCATTTTGCTCCACGTACTGAGCAATCCCGGAATGCCCTTGTGATCGGCCCCGTACGGGTGTCCCATGACGTCCCAGGCTCCGACTCCCTTGGCAGCGGATAAGTCTATGCCGTCGTACAAATCAATCAAATCAAATGTGTGCATGTACTGTGGATGTGATGTGATGTGATGTGATGTGATGTGATGTGATGTGACACAGACAGAGAATGGAAGATAAAGTTTGATTGAGGCTTTGAAAAGGACGACCATGAACCACTCAACCAAACTGCTTGTATACTGCGTAACTAACCTCGTGACATGTGAGCCCAGCCGTCATTGGTTTGTCATCGCAAACATCATCATATACCGAATTGACAGTATAACCACCCATTTTGAAATTACCATCTTCGGATCTCCAGGAATTGGGATCGACCGAATTGATGTATGCTTTGTTCATAAGCATATCAGGAACGCAAGTCAATGAGAGGGATCAAAATAGAAAACAATCCACCAATCAGCAGTGATAATATTCTGTCTTCCAGTAGGAACTACAAGTACATACCATGAGGCCATATTCGATCGGCAAATCCAGTATTGAAACAATCGTCTCCTCCCACGACGGCGCTAATCCCGGAATGCAGCATGACGACCGAATCCAACTTTCCATCTTGATCGACATCAAACTGGGACCAATCCCATCCCGGCTCGGCGTCGAGTCGATTGAGAATGGGCCACATGGCTTTGGGTAGCGATGGATCCAGACCAGATTTTCCAATGGCGTAGTACTGTTCGGTATTGTCGGTCATTTGCCAATCGATAATGACGGGATCTACCGTGTACTTGCCGTGTGAATTGACGTTGAACCAGTCCTTGATTTGGCCATTCCAGAGTTCTTCAATAGTTGCCTTTGGAATCAGGTTGCGATTCCCGTGATCTGTGAATTGTACCAAAAGAACCAGCGCCTTGAAATTGCCCAAATTGGGATTGTGACTCCCCCGCTGCAAATTCCTTCTCTGTTGTTGCCGCCATTGCCGTTTCATGGATTCTACCATACCATGGCAGCTGTTGTCATCAGTATCATCATTCTCGCAGAGTCTGGGATGCGCCAAAACAGGAGTGATGATACCAGTACTGGAATGATTGTACACATGACTGCTACTCCCGAGAACAGCAGCAAGGGGGATCCACAGCAGCCAAGAAATCACCGTCCAAGGCAAGCCCATCATCTTTCTCCCTACGGTATCGTTGTGTGGTTATGTATACTAGCTGCTGTTAGAGGGGTTGCTACCAGGTACCGACTACTATACCGGTACCACTCTGAGCTATCGCGACGGTGCTCACGCGCTTGTTCTGTCGTCTTTGTGGAGGTCATCAATCATGGATCTTTTGTCAAGCGAGGTGGGTGGCAGTGACATTGAGCCGTGCATGGGGACACAGCTGTGCGACTTCAAAGACACCTACGTCATCTGCCACTCGGCAGCCCATCATTCGTGATTGATAATGATGACGTGGTTTTTGATGTCTTTTCTTGAGAAGTGCATCTGGTTGGGTGCGCGCAAAGCGAAGTTCTGTTGCAGTTGTGCTTATGGAATCTCAATCGAGTCGAACGAGTCGTCCGACAGAAAATGGCAAAGAAGATTCTTGCTTCATTTTCTTCTTTCATCAATGGCGATGTCATTGTTCTTGGTGGTGTCTTTCTTTGAACCTGTTTGTTTGTCTCCCGCGATCTTCCATTTTCCAACAGACAGAAGTAGCATTGCTGTCGAGGAGTGTTGCTCGTCGGTGTTGCTGAAGTAGACAAAAGAACCAAGGAAAGGATAGTAGTGTCGGTCCAAGCTCGAGCAAGGGTATACAGCACAATCCAGATTCCCACGAAAAGCGAAAAATGAATCATCTCCGCCCCAACTACTTTCGCCAGCAACCTCGACCATGGCCCTCCGTGGTATCATGCTTGGTGATCTTTGCGTGTGTTGCATCCATGACTCTGGAGGTTCATGGATTTCTAGGAAGTCAACCAGCCATTCTGCCCTCAATGCACTCATCGAAGATGACAAAGTCTACCGAGTTGCACTCCACCAAGCGTAGGTCATGACAAGATTTTGTCTTTTTGAGAGGGTTGCAATTTCTCACATTGCATTTCGTCTTTTGTAATGCTCTTCCTTGCCATCTTGTGTTTTTATTTGGGCAGCCCAACACAAACACCGATCAAGTGACCGATATTCGTCCACCACTGCGACGAAAACTCAAGTAGCCAATAGCGTCACGGAACTCTACGCGGAAGGAAATGGATACCGAAAGACCATTCGGAGGTTCAAAAATGGAAATGAATTGGTTGGTAGGGAAAATACGAGGAAGAAGAAGAAGAAGAACAATGACAACCAAAAACGAGGAGAAGAAACAATCCCAACCAACAAGTTCTTGAATGAATTGAATCGCTATCCAGCACTCATCTTGAATGCCGATTATCAGGTATGTCTATCAGTGTCATCGATATGATCATGATTTCGGAAGTATCGTATACGAGAAGGGAGGTTTTGTGGGTGGGAACTCACTTTCTATTCTGGTTTTCCTTGTAAAAGCCCATGTCGTATTTGCCATTGAGTGTCTCTCACTGGCAAGAAGCCGTCAAACTGATCTTTAGTGGAAAGGTGGCCGTGGTCGATGTCTACGAGGGTGTCACCATTCGGGCTGCCAGCATTGAGGTGCCACTCCCCAGTGTGATCGCATTGAACGAGTATGTCCCACAGTGCAGTCACAAACCAGCATTTACCAGACGCAACGTCTTTTTGAGGGATGAGTACACCTGTCAGTACTGCAACGATCCCTTTACTACCAAGGATTTGTCCATTGATCATGTGGTGCCACGCAGTATGGGCGGAGTGTTGAATTGGTGCGTGCGTGCAGTTGCGACTACAGCCTCGATCGTCATACATGTAGCAAGAAGTACAACAATACATCTCATTGTACGTTTTGTTTCTTTCTTTGCAGGGAAAATGCAGTTACTAGCTGCCTCAAGTGCAATGGACGCAAGGGCAGCATGCTCCTGTCCGATTTGAAATCGGTTGGAATGAGGCTACAGACCAAACCTCGTGCTCCAACGCGTCATGAACTGGCCATCAAAGCAGGAAGAATGCTCCCTCATCGAAAGTTTCATCCCACTTGGCAACCGTATCTAGGGGCAGTCTGGGGGGGAAATGATGACAATACTCCAACCCCCGATTTGGAAGCTCTGGGCATTAGTTTTCATGAGGATGGAGACACAGCAACAACAGAACCAAAGCCACGCAAAAAGGTTTCCAAGAACAAAAAGAAACGAGTCAAAAGGCAGCAGGAAAAGAGCAGCAAGGCACAGAAGAATCTTTTGGATTCTAGGATATGAGAAATTTTTTGCTAGAACTATGCATAGGGAAGGCTGAACAAAGCGTGCTGACTGGTGCATTTGGATTGATACGGCACTACAAGGTCACTGATCTTGTCGCCTTGCTACCGGCTTAGCAACGAGAAGGTGCCATCGTCGCGACGCAGTCAACCTACTCACTCAACCAATTTTGATAAACCACAATTGCCACGTTTTAGTTATATAAAAAAAGATCGTTCCTTGGTACATGAAAACCTGAACATATCATGACGCAGCTACCGATGATCCCAGCCGCGGCTGCATGCTTCCTTATGTTACTCACGATCCCACTTTGAAGTTTGTCACCAAGCAAATAAATTTCAGAATGGGCTGATGGAATCAAACCATACCCTTTTGATTGTGCCTATGGAGAAATGTAGTTGGTTCCATAACAAAGGGGGGAACCTATGGCCATTGATCAGTTCTCTTTGGAAGAAGAGGTCCTTGCACAAGTCGGCAACATGTGCTGGCAGGAACCAAAGAAAGCCTTGATGTTCCTGACCTTCACTCATCGGCATACGTCCAAATGTATTGCACACAACACGCACGTTACACCATTCACTAGCTAGCTAAAATTTAACTATTACTATCGCAGATCGACACTAAGCAACCCATCATGATGCAACCATCACGATGATTGGTTCCTTTCACTCGCCTTTTCACTTTTTGATTCCTTCTTCTGGATGAGTCAAGGTAGAATTGAAGATGCGTCCTGGGTGACCCATTCCTTGAATATCATCAATATCGCCGGGTGGTGGTGTTCGATGAGGATCATCTTCCTGGGTATCCTCCAAGAAGTCAATCCAATCTTCTTCCTCTAGGACTTGAGCATAGTCCTTGGAATTCTCAACGGCATGCATCGATGCCAACTCGAGGGCATCCCTGGCTTTTTGAGGAATACTGGCAATTTCTTCCGCTGTCAATTCTCGAATCTTCTTGGCGGGAGCACCAGCCCACAATTCTCCTCCTGGAACCACTGTTCCGGGTGTGACGACAGCACCAATATCAACAATTGAATTGGATTCCACTACGGCACCATCCAATACTTGAGCGGATTCGCCAATCACACACAAATCCTTGACTGTGGCCGCATGAATGAGAGCACCGGCACCCACAGTCACATTGTTTCCAATGTTTGTAGGCAAGTCTCCTTGGATTTTGGCAACATGAATAACGGCACGGTCCATGATGGCCGTACGCTCTCCAATGGTCACCGTATTGACATCACCACGAACGGTGCTGCCATACCAAATGGACGAGTTGCGACCAATCGTGACATCTCCAATCACCGAGGCAGATGGAGCCACAAAGGTACCGTACTCGGCCACACGAGGAGCCACCCCATCGACCGCCACAAACCGTGTGGAGGGAACCAGCTTTTCCGAGTACTTGGCCACTTCCATGTTGGCTCCTGCCTTGTCCAAACTCTTGCCGGCACTGCGAATCGCACTCGCGACTGCTGTCACCATTCGAATGCCCATGCCACTCATCTTGATGGTAGTGTTGTTGTTAAAAACTCAATAGGAAATAACAATAGAAGGACAACAAACAAGCAGCGGTCTGTTGGAACGTCATGGTCGGCTGCTGTTGGGTTCCCCAAATCAAATCACGAGTAAGCGTGATCGCTCTCAAGATGGGGCTCCAAAGCTGTCTTGCTGGCTTAGTCCAAAAGATACGATCTTTTCTTGGGCCATCACAGCCACCTAGCTACATGCATGTAGCTAGTAGCTTGCAACAACCTCCCCGCAACTCTCTGGCTTGGCAACGGACACAACCTCCAGTTATTTCCCACGCTGCACTTACTGAAAGAACGACAGCCAAAATGCTTCCAATATCCTTCACTCTTCGGTTATTGTTCCTTGTCTGTCTCTGTTTTCATGGCTGCTACTCGTTTATTATTAGGTCGGCCCCATTTCTTCCTCGGTCGTTTGCTCAACAGTCATCATCATCCACCCAATTATTATTGGCAGCAGCCACATCAGAGCCTGTCAAGGTGGGTTTTGTGGGATGTGGTACCATTGCAGCCGCCATTGCCACAGGCCTGGCGACACAAGATACAGTTGCCATTGACAGCATTTCCGTGTCACGGCGGTCCAAATCCAAATCCCAACAGCTGAAGGAATCCTTTCCAGATCTAGTCAAAGTATACGACGACAATCAAGCCATTTTGAATCAATCCGACATTATCTTTCTCTGCGTACTCCCAAATCTGGCAACCCAAGTCCTTCAAGATTTAGAGTTTGACGATTCCCGTCATACACTGGTATCTCTGGTGGTACGTACGTAGAGTGCGGTTGTGTGGAGCTACCAGGTAGCTGTCTGTACTGTGGGAAGTATTCCTAGTATTGACCCCTTTTGATTTGCTGCCATTCTTCGCTACTTGCAGTCAACGGCCAAGATTGACGATCTGATCTATTATTCGCAACTGGATAAATCCAGAGTTGCCAAAATGATTTGTCTCCCTGCCGTGGCACGTCATCAGGGTGTCTGCCTCTTGTGCTCGCCAGTTCCCAATCCAGCATTGGAGGCACTGTTCGAGGCAGTGGGTGGCGTCTTGGCACTTGAAACGGAAGAAGAATTGAACGTTGCCATGGTAACCACCTGTGTCATGGGCCCTATTTATGGAGTCATGGCTCAAAGCCGTGATTGGTTGACACAAAACTGTCCCTCACTATCCAAATCCGATGCTTCCTATTTGGTGGCCAAACAATACCAAGGAGCCATCCAGGATGCCGTCATTGATTGCAAAGATGCCAATCGCTTGGACGACCTAATTGAGGAACAAACACCCGGTGGCCTCAATGCACAGGCGCTAAAGAACTGGAAAACATTGGGAGCGCTGGGCAGCTACGATAAGGTGATGGATGCGGTCCTGATGCGCATTGAGGGGAAGAGTGATGGCTCTTTGTGGGATGTCCTGTGATAAGGACGAAACGTAATCAACCACGGCACGTTCGCTCTACTCCAGTAGTAGGCAGATCAACTTTGGTAGGTGGCACATCGTCCCCAAAAGAGGAAACTGTCGCGGTGGTATGTTGGCCAAAGTTTTAGTGCGCTATGTAAGGATAATATTTGCTACCAATGGCTCGAAGGAAAAGCGATTTGTTTTGTGAATTGTGGATGGTGTTGTTGGTTCCAACAAACTGTTATAGACCCGCCAATTCGGCTTCCAACTTTTTGAGTTCGTCTGCTTCGTCGTTGGCGAGTTTGGGTTGGGGCAGTTTGGAAGCCGGGACAGATGGAAGCCCCAAATCTTCGACTGGTTTGGGCGGTGCCAACAATTCGGCTTCCAAATCGGCCGTCTCTAAACCCTCCAATTCTGCCAACAATTCGTCTTCGTCTGCCATGAGACCATCCACCGGTTGGGCAATGGCATTGTTGACTTCTTCGGCCATTTCCATTTCTTCCTTCATTTCATCCATAATGTCATCGACCTTTTCTATTCCCACGTCATTACGGATTTTCTTCATGGTATTGGTACCGGATCTCATGGCATCAAATGTGGCAGCATTTTGTGCCGCACTTTCCAGGTTGATTGCTTGGGTCTCCAATGTCATTTTGACATTTTGAATCTTGTCTGCTTCTGCCTCATACATCTTCTTTCGCTTCATGGCAAACAGAGCTCCCTTTTTATCGCCCTTGGCCATTTTAGCCTTGGCTTCTGCCACTTGGGCTTCCACCTTTTTTAGAATGTGCTCTTCTCTAATAGTTAAATTCAACAGAAAATGAGAAATTCATGGTTTGGAGCAGAAAGTTGATTGTTTGAGTGTATGTAAGATGAATGAATGATCAGGTCGAGTGATCAACAGCGCGGTGAAGTAGATTGATGGGTAAAAGGAGAGGAGCCAAGAGAGAGCAAAAGGAAAGAAAGAAAAAGGAAGGTGAGTCATTGCCGAATAACTACAAAAACACCTTCGCCAAAATTAGGCATGATTCAACCCACCTCTTTTCTTGTGTCTTGATTGCTGTTCGAAGCTTCACAATGGTTGTCTGAGAGTCTGTGGTGGTTGTCGTCGGTGTTGACGACACCGTGGTTGGCTCGGTCTTCTTCTTTCCAAAAAAGTTGAACATGGTGCTGCTGGTGATTGTATCTGAGGTTGTTGGATTATGAAGCTCTTTCTCTGTTGTTGGTTCCTTGCTTCTTGCTTCCTCTTCTTCTTGAATTCTGCACCAACGATCCCGTCTTCAATCCCTTCCACGACACGAATCAAATCAACTGTTCCGCTGCCACTCTACTCAAGTTGGCCGTAGAGACCAGTAGGAGCGGACGGCTCGACATAATATTTGATTCCCGGCACCTCTGCCTGAGAAAGCACGACCATGGCCCAGCACTGGCAACACTTGTCGCCATCGGGACCTATGGAATTTAGCATTCCCTGCTTGGCGTTCCGTTTCCATGCCTGGGGAGAGGGCTCACCATCTTGCTTCTATCAACGGTATCTCCTTTGTCATCTTTCTACTTCTAAAATAATGCCAACTCGACGATACCGAGACGGTGATGCGGGATTGGGTCCAGCAGGAAGGAAGGAAACAAAAGGGAGCAGTTTGAAAACACGCATTGGCCGAAGACATTCCTTCCAAGTAACGCAAGCTGTGGCGGCCGCCATCGCGTTCGTCCTCAGCAGTCCATTGGCCAATGCTGTACAAGGCCAAAGCACAAGAGATCTAACAGAAGAGGACAGTGTTCCCACTCCTCCTCCTTACCCGCTACCGGTATCCGCACCACAAGCAACCACGACTGCCACAACACGAAGAACAACAGACACCACCAATTCTTCCAATGGCTCTCAAATTGTCCTTTCTGGTGAAGGCACTTACGCCTTCACAATCACCAACATCATCAACACCACCCACACTGCTTTTACCAATGACAGCTCCACCACCACAGTCGAGTTCTTTGAGGTATCTTATGACGTTGCAACCACAGATAGAATTGTGCGGGGTGGCAGAGGTCTCTATGGAACCATACCTACTAGCATTGGATACCTCACTGCTTTGACCTTCTTGGACTTGTCTCTCAACTGGTTGTCCAAAAGCATCCCTTCAGAGGTTGGGCTCCTGGCAGCTTTGACGACATTGCGGCTAAATGTCAATGCGCTATCCGATAGACTCCCATCCGAGATTGGATTGCTGACGAATATGACTCATTTGTACCTGTACAACAATCAGTTGTCTGGCAGCATTGTGACGGAGCTGGGGCTACTGAGTGCATTGCAGAGGTTGGATTTGGATGGCAACCTGTTGTCCGGCAGGGTTCCCTCTCAGCTTGGATTGCTGACCGCTTTGACTCGGTTGGATTTGTCCTACAACCAGTTGTTGTCCGGCAGTGTGCCCAGCAATCTCTGTTCCAACCCAGTTTTGCGGCGGATATATGTGGATTGTTCCTCGGTAGAATGTTCCTGCAATCAATGCCAATGTAGCTAGCTACAATAATTGGTGGAACTATACATGTATATAATATATTCTGAATGGATAAGGTTCATGGCTGCCTGATTGATGACAAGTGATCAACAGTCAACAACGAAAATATTTGGTCTCTCATTGTGCTTCAGCATTGCTGCCCGGTCCGTCCACCTTCGGTGGCAAGAGCACCTCTTTGGGAACGGGCACATCGAGTCGCTCTGCCAGGGTGACCACCGCGTTGTGTAGATGCCTCGAGAGCGACTGGCAGTTGGGAACGGCTGAGGGGTCCAGCGTAATGTTACCAGAAATTTGACCCGCATAGCTGATAAACGCCACGTGCGGCATAATGTTGGACAAGAACATGTTGCATCCGATGCCAGGTTGACCAGCAAACATACACGTCTTGGCCGGTCCCGGCACATTGGATATGGATACCGATCGTTTGGACAACGTATTCCAAAACAAGTATTCGCTCAAGGCCCGAGGGGTGTAGGGTGCGAGATGGTTTTGCATCGCCAATCCCACCATCGGTACTGGACTCGTCTTGAGACTGGAGAGGTGATTGTGGAGGTATTGAAGTCGTTCGAGAATGTCATTCTTGTCGGGTGAAACCCCCACACCCAAGTCGGATGACAAAAAGAACCATTTGTTTTTCAAAGTATCCACTGCTGCATTACTGACGGTTCGAGGCAACACGGCCGCAATGAGTGCTCGACACAGTAGATTGGCGCCTTGTTCCTTGATGACTGGACAGTCTTGTTCGTCCAAGTAGTCTCGAATGGCCTGTGACAAGCACGTGAACAGAACGTCGTTGATGGAAACTTTGGCTGCATTCTTGATGGCCTTGACAAAGTCCAAGGGAAGGGTAGGGAATAGAACAATCTCTCTGTCATGGTTATGGACCTAGAGAAGCATAGAACGATTAGTGTGCCATCAAGGCAAAGAAGAACAAGAACAGCACCGTCTCCCGTTCCTTACCATATTCGTGCCCATTGCCTTGGAAAAGACTGTGGGATCATCCGACCACGTATGGGGCATGGTCAGTACTTGGATCGCAGCTGTCAAAAGCTTCCCTGCCAGACTCGGCAACGCCATTTGGGGCTTTCCACGTTTCTCCATCATTCCCTTTGGAATCACGGATGTCATGGGTGAACCATCGGCATATTCCAAAATTTGCTGACCTACCGTGGCCAAAGAAATGCCATCACCCAAAGCATGATGAATTCTCCATATGCAAGCACTGTTTCCGGTTCCTTGGTTCTAATAAAGCACAAGACAGTAGAGAGCAGAGTTAGCAACCATGCGTGGGCTAGCCAGCAAGGGGTTTACCAGCCGAGGAGTTCTTGCGAGAAGCCTTACATCCAAAAGTAGTATCTCCCACCAAGGTAATTTTCCTCTTCCCTTGGGATCATCCAACGGATCATGCAAGTGCCTTTCGGCCACCTTGTGGAGGGGCTCACATTCTTTCGTATTGTTGTTGACCAGGATGCGTCGTACCAACTTTTGGGTGTCAAAGGGCATCTGATGAAAGGATAATTGCTCCTGTTGGTCCACCACTGGGATTGTGGCTAATCGTTCGTATTGCAAGAGCTTAGCAACGACCAGATTCATCATATCTTCCTCAGTAGGGCACTGGGCAAACTCGATAAAGATGTTAATGATAGGATCTGGCATGTTGTGTCGTTTGGGAATACACATCGATGCCATCAAGGAAGAAGTATTGGACACGGATCGTTTCAAAGGAGGACGACTGCTCTTGGCCACGGAAGAACTGCGCCATTTCCAACGAAATGCCACGAAGATGATGCTGAAAGATACCACCACGGCGGATACCAAGGACGCTGAAACGTAGGGATGGTACGGATTGATGTCGTAGCATTTCCAAAGATCCACAAAAGCCACAGCACCTCCTTCGGTACTGATGTTTACCATCTTTCCCAGTTGGTTTCGAGCACATTGATGAGCATCCATCATTGTCATCTGCATCTTGGTACCAGGTAGCCCTTCTTTACCCATTCCAATACTTCGGTAATAGTGCCACGCCAACACGCCAACAGAGTTGTCCAGAACGCAGACAAGCGAAAAAAATGACAATTATTGCGGAGGGGGAAAATCACGGGAAAACAGCTCAAAAAGCGTTCTGTTTAGGCGAACGGAGAACCCAAAGACATAATTGTCCAAAGCTGGAAATCTATTTTTTTGGCTGACGTGTGCAGTCAGAGAGGGATGAGGTTTAATCGAGAACATCACAGTGGGAAGTCCAGCAAGCTAGCTAGAACAGCGCTAGCCACGAGGTCGGCATCGGGCGATCCCAAAAAATTTCTTGAATAGCTTTGGGCCGAGTCTACTACTAGCTAGTAGCAGCTAGCTAGAGCTTCAAAGATGATTGATTCAATCGGTCAAGGAGCGAGACTACGTACACAGAACCTGTAGGCCTTGCCACGGTACCGGTATCCTGGGGTAGTGCTGGACGCTCATACACCGATTACAGCTACAGGTGGACCTGGACCTGGAAGCAATGCGCCCTTTCTTGGAAGTTTCTGATTGGGGCCAGGTGCTGGAGCTTCAGGTCAAGGAGATTGACCAGCAGCGGACGTCCGGTAGCGGCTTTACAGTGGTTCTGGTCCAGTTGTTGTGCCTCGGGTTGTACGGTAGGTCCTGGTGAAGAAGCTCGCCAGGGATAGCCCACTAGGGTCTGCATGTCCTCTTTCTTTGCTCCAATTTCCAGTTCAGCCACGAAAGCAGACAAGAACGTGGAAAGGAGACCTCAAGAAAGAAATCAGGCAAGAGAAATGCATAGTTTGCTTGTTCTTTTCCCGCACAGGAACAGCAACAGGCCTGAGTACGCAGTCGTACAATGTAGCCCTACAAACTAGCTACTACTAGTAGCACGTCTTATCTTCCCATGCATACTTTGTTTGTAGGCATTGGCTGTGCGGATGATTGGTTGCTTGGTTGAGTGTCGAACTCTTGAGACTTTGGATCTAGAACATGGACTCTCTGCCTCATGGATACAACCATCTCCCCTGCTTCTTCTCCCGACGAGGCTACTGCACCAAAGCCTCCTTCAGAAGCGAGAATGAAGCAACTAGCAAGCCAGCCACGGCAGAGCTACCGGTTAGGTAGCAGTAGTGCATGCATGCTACCGGTACTTCTTCCTGGCCTACTACTGGCCTACTAGTAGCTGGTGTCAACATTCATTTCACCCACTCTGGCACTTGCTGCGAGAGCTTGTTTTGGTACCGGTATCCTTTCCTTGTTCCGGAAACAGGGTTTGCCTCCCATCTCCCATGCCATCGAGCTTGCCCAAGTCGTTCAGCGAATACTTGGTCCACGTCATTTAAAGGACATTTCATTTTGATCACTTCTTTCGCTCAAATTTTGCTCAAAAAGGAGAAACGGACAGCTTGATTTCTTTCAATGACGATGACGTGGTGCTCCACTCTCGCAATTTGCCTGCATCACTTGCTTCTCGCTGATCACTCCGATTGGTAGCAGTTGCGGAAATTTGCTCAGAACGCTTCCGGCAAAATCGATCCGCATGATTTCAACCATCAGGAGTGACACCAGTGTATCTATCTGAGGTCTAAATTGATGTTTGTTGGCTGGTAGGCTACTAGCTAGGCAGAATCGTTTTCTTCTGGCTGGCATACCATAGTCAAAAGTTTGGATGCAAAAGAGGAGCCAAGTTGTGGTTGTCATTTCCATAAAACAAAAAAGTTTACGCTACCTTTATCCATCTCTAATCAACATGGAACGAAGCAACATACCCCTGATAACCTGCGCCATTTTGGCAGCCGTAACGACGGGAGGCCCTGCCTATGCATTTGGGATCTACTCGGTTGAGTTAAAGAACTTGTTGGACCTGTCTCAGCCACAATTGGATACCCTTTCCTCGGCTTATTTCTGCGCAGGTCTATTCACATGGATCCCAGGTCTCCTAGTTGATCGCTATGGAGTTCGGCGAGCCATCTCGTGTGGCGGCATGATGGGTGCTACCTTCATGATGGCTTATTGGGCAGTGGCACGTCAATTCATCCAGCTTCCCTCCAAGGCTTGTGTCATTGCCACCCTCTTCTGTCTGGGAGCTGGCTTTTGCATTGCCAATGGCCTCGTCATTGGAGCCATCTACAAGATCCTTGTGTGTTCTTCCACCCCTACTACCAAAGGATCTTTGGTGGGTGTCGCCAAGGGCTATGTCGGGATGGGATCTGGAGTATATGCCTGTTTGTTCCAAGCCATGAAGACTGCTCTGCATAGCAAGTCCGACTTGGACTTTTTGCCCATGGCCGCCGTGATTGCCTTGATGGGAGCTGTCGTTCCGGCATTGACTTTGCTCCCCAGCCAACAAGATACAACCTCTCTTTGGAGTCTACCCAGAGAAAAAATCGACAAAACTACCAAAGGCCACTTTACGGTCCTCTACATGGGCCTGCTTGCCCTGGCAGTGATGGTCATGCGTACCAGTTTGGGAGAGTTGTTTGCAGAATCCTGGGAAGGTGAATCCCTTCGCCGTACACCCAGTTCACACATTTCCAAAGGAATCGTCTTGCTGGCTCTCTGGCTAGGTCCCATCCTTTTCATACGTGTGCTTCCTACCTCTTCCGTAGCAGCACCCGAAGACGACTCTACGGTGTTGTCATCTGGGATCTATGACGTGGAAGACCCGAACAACAATGAACTTTGTGAGGTGGACTACCCACAATCCATCACACCAGGAGAACATTCTCCTCTCTTGGCCAAGGAGGCTGGAGATGACAGACACAGTTATGTCTCTCAAAGAACAGAGACAACCATCGCTGAAGACTATGCCGAAAAATGTAGCGAAGATTCCTCCATGATGATGAATGGCAACTACAACCTGTCACAGCTCCTCCAAACACCACATGCCTGGGTCCTCATTTGGATTGCCCTGGTCATTGTCGGAAGTGGTACCATGATGACCAACAATATGGGTCAAATGGTGGAATCACTTGCCCTCATGCCACAAGATACCGTGACACCCGCCAGCATGGCCATCTTTAGTGTGGCTCAAGCAACCTCTCGCGTCGTTACCGGTGCAGTATCGGATGCCGCATTGGCACGGTATGGCATCCCACGACCCGCCTTTTTGATTGTGGCCTCTTTGATTGCAGCCGTGGCTCATTCTGTTCTGGCCTTGACAGACAACCACCAGGAGATTGCTTTCTTGGTGGGAGTCACGTTATCGGGGGTTGCCTTTGGAATGATTTGGCCCTTGATGGTGCTGATTGTTGGAGAAGTCTTTGGTACAGCACACATGGCAACCAACTACTTGTTCTATGATGGTGGCTCGAGCGCTTTCGGCACTCTACTTCTGAGCAAGTTTGTCACGCAAGAAGTCTACGAGGATCACATAGATAGCAGTGCCGAAACAACCTGCTACGGAGCAGAATGCTTTCAATTGTCGCATTGGGTGGTGGTAGCATTGGCAATGTCTTGTGTTGTGGCTGCCCTTCACTTACTACAACAGACCAGAGAGGTGTATTCGAACAAGGCCCCATCTATTGTGAGGAAAGCTTAGACAATGCCGCTCGGGTTGGACCCATTGGCAGAGCAAACAGCATTCGCAGGTCAAATAGGAAACTGTGTCCATGCAGGATGGAGGGTGGATGCAGAAAATGAGTGTTCTCCATTACGAAACCACCATGAAGCGAATCGGAACATGCAGGCCAACTTGCAGCAGTACCGTACCGGTAGATCTGAAACACGCCCTCCCTTCCTAAAGGTCTCCAGGCAAACAACGGCGAAGCCGACAACAGAGGGCAGCAGTTTTTGACAGCGATATGTGGAAGGTTGGCATTTACAGTTGAACTAGCTCGTAGGATAACTTCCCTACTCTGAAAGCCCCTTTTATCCGGCATGTGTACATTGTCCGTAGCAAGATGCTATTGGTATCCCTTAGAATGAGGACACCGAAGCGCCTGCCGTGACCCGAAAGTACTCTACCTAGCCAGTGAAAGCAGACTCGACCCTGGTTTTGAAACGAATTGATGCTTTTGTGAGCAATAGAATGCCCTCACATTTGAAAGGTCTTGTTTCGGTCATTGACCTCTGTGTCACTGTTGGAGGCTGTGGCACCGGAGCAATTGCAGAACACCCACAAAGAACCTCTGAACAATCAAAGAAGAGTTCATCCACCATGCACAACTCCGTTGGCAGCGCTCCAGTGAGCTGGGTTTCATCCAGTCGGATAGATGTTGCATTGGACATGACTTCCAATTCAGCCGGAACCATTCCTGTCAGTTGGTTCTGGTCCATGTGCAGGACTTCCATGGAATACAGCCTCCCAAACTCTGTAGGGATGGTCCCGGTGAGCGAGTTGTTTCTCAATTGCAAATCAAACAGATAATTCAGCTGTCCGGATAATATTTTGTGACAGGTTTTTGGTTGTCCTGTAGCCCTTGTCATTCAGCCATCCAAAGAGCCAGTACTTGTGACCAACATCCTGCATGCTTGCCATCAACTCCACATATTCCAGGTTTTGCACAAGTCCCAGCTCTGTTGGAAGAGTTCCAGTGAGAAGTTTGAAGGTCTGTTCTCTATAACCAGCGAGTTCCAGGCTTTTTGGTAGACATGACAAAGAAGAGTCGAGTCCAAATTCAGGACTAGCTAGCTAGCTAGAAGGTTCCATGTGATCGGGGGAGAAATATTATTTGAGGACCAACGCAACCTGGATGCAACACAATCTTTCAGGAAATCCCACAAAGTAGCTCCCTAGACTGTGTAGAGTGATTCTTAACCGCCATGCCGCTTTATTTCGTTCGTATCGTGGAGCCTCGGTTCTCCTTCCACGATGCTTTGAGGGGGGTTTTAGAGTAGGGAAATTATCTACGGAAGCCAGCCGGGGCCAGGCTTAAGCAAAGAACAGTCGAAATTCAGGACTAGGTTCTGTGGGATCAGGGGCAAGAAATTGAGGACCATACGGGGGGCAAAGGGTTTGGCTTTGCGGGAGCCACGGAGACATAAATGGGTAGCTTTCACAAGGGCAATTGAGATACGGGTCTGCATGAAGAACATCATTTGAGAGTAGGAAAATTGAGTTTTGGAGGCAGTAGCAGAAGCAAGGCGTTGTAAGAGAGTCTTGGCTTGAGGGCAAGCATGCCATCCACTGAAACAACAAAGGGTGGAAGGAAGCGCGATTGGACTCGCACGCTCTTTATATTTGGAAATTTTGTCGCGTTCTTGTTGGGTTAAAACTTTGACGGGATCTTTGTTGCGGTAAGAGGCACAGTCCAATCAGTGACACGTACGTCAATAATAGCTGTAGTACCTCGTTCAAACAAGCGCGAATGGAAAGATCACCGCGTAAGAGCTCGGGGGCTGGAGGGGATTGAGAGTGGGGGAGGAAGGGGAGGTAAGGTAGAATTGGGTGACCGGCAGGGATAGTAGGGGCGGGAACAGATGGAAGGGGTGGTTCTGATGGACGCTAGAGGAACCAAAGCATTCACATGCAATAGAACCAAGTTCATTGCGGATTTCATTATGGCGACGGATGATTAAGCCACCGCTTTGCAATCCAGAGCATGTGGAACGCTGAAGGGAACAGTACAGCCATCACAAAGAGCTGGAAGAGCTGGGGGGTAAGACCGAACCGGAGAAAAGAGCATCACGCCATTCTGAGCAGAGAGGTGAGTGCGTTTGGCAATATCGGGCATGACTGCAAGCCAGGAGCCAGTGCAACGACTGCGATTGAGGCGGGACTGCTCAGCGGAGTGAGAGTGGCTTGATGGGTCTCGAAAGCCGCTTGGTAGGCGTCTTGATGGCGTTTGGTGGCGCTGATACGACCTTCTGTGAGGGCTGTGCGATGGTCTTCAATTCTGAAGGGATGACGTGGGGGCTCAAGGAAGGGGGTGGCAGGGTCGTGGAGAGGGCTAGGGGGGATGGGAATTAAGGGCAAGGGGGCAAGAAGGGATCGGGTAATTTCCGAAGTAATTTCGCGACTGGCAATGTAGCGGAGGGGGGCTTCCGTAATGGGGTTGGGGAGAGAAAGGCCAGCAAACTTGTATGGGAGGGAAGTGAGAGCTCGGGGGGTAGTTCGCTTGAATGAAGGTTCCAGAGAGCGGGGAGAAGCTCAAAATCCAGAGCATTTTCCAAGGGAAGCCAAGAGTCCGAGGGGACACGACAGACACGTTGCACAAATTGCCATTCCATTTGGAGAGACTTTTGGCAGGCAATATAAGCCGACTGGGGGTAGAACTGAGCCACTTCACAAAGAGATTGAATGCAGGCCGTCCAAGTTGTGATTTTGGAATAAACCCAGGAGGAAAGGGCTCAGGTTCGCCGATATGACCACCAGAAATCTGGCACCATTGGTGACTTTGAGTTGAGAGCCGCGGGTACGCGTAAATTGAGTGGTGGCTGTGTGAAAATTGGCACTGTGAGTAATAATTTTGCATTTATTGCGCTGAACAAAGTAGCCGAATGGTTTGCCGAGCCGAATAAGACGGTCTAGAAGCAATTGTAAATCAGTAAATTTGCCGGCAGCATTGGCATCATCGGCATACCAGAGATGCAAAAGGTGAGGGAACTCATGATGAAGCCGTTTAATGAGAGGAACTAAGGCTAAACCGTAGCAGTACATGGCTAAAGGATCACCTTGCACGACTCCAACAGCGCTGAGGATAATGTGAGCTGTTCCAGCGGTGGAGTCGTGAAAAATAACAAGGGACCAATGTTTGTAACTGTTGAAGGTAAAGCGGGCGCCTTCGGGCCAAAGATGGCGAACTGTATAAAGCATGGCAGTTCGATTCAATTCGTTGAAGGCGTTAGAAGCATCTATAATAAGGAAGCCAAAATCAGAGTCGAGACTGTCAGATGAGCCAAGGTGATGATCCCAAACATGATTTGCCGTGTGGACGGCACCTTCAATGCCGCTTTCAAACCAACGGAAAGCTGAGAAGTGCCAGCTGCTGCAGCCGCAGCGGGGCCAGCAACAGCGAGGACACATTTGGCAATGTAGCGTCGTTCAATGTTACCAATACCGATGGGGCGTACACCGGGAAATTTATCGAGAGCCATGCCGCGATTGGCATTGAGAGCTCGGATGGCGGCCCAAGGAACCAAGTTGTTGGCTTGCCATTGAGCAAAGAGACCAAACGCAGCTCGAAGTTGGGTACTAGCTCGGCGATAGCGAAGGAGCCAATTTTTGAGAGTTGGACCATCGGTGCCGCCTAGGCCACAAGCACCGGATAGTTTGCCAGCAACCTGTTCAGAAATTTCAGGGGTAATTTGAAGATCTACAAAGGCTGGTGGGGGAGCATCGAATTTGGGAAGCTGGGCTAAATTAATAGGGGTTGGAGAGGGATGCTTGGATTTGAGAATGTCCAAGACAGACCGCTCGGTGCCCTTGCCGTCATCAGTGTGAGCTGTGGGGAGCAGCACGCCGAATTGTTCACGTGCAGTGATAAAGCGGACAGCTCGGCGCACCTCACCTTGAAGCATGAGATGCTGAAAGCGGCGGGCTCGTTGTTCTGGTGTGCTGGAGCCGCGGCGATCCGAGAGGAAAGACTCCATGGCTTTGTGACATTCGGTAATAAGTGATTCATAAAGACCACTGTCCCATTGATCAAGACGCCGAGTCAGCAGCGGTTTGATGTCGCGGTTCCGGCGAACATGAGGGACCTTTTGAAGAATGACCATGGTAAAAATCAGGGGTTTTTCCCAGTTGTGACGTCGGTAGACGACACCTTCAATAAGATCAGCATAGGTTCCGAGGAAGCGTTCGGCAAGAACACCACCGGGAAGATGGTATTGATGGGGAAGGCATTGATATAGACGTTGTAAATAGGACTGCCAGAGTTGATCGGTTATGGGATCGATGCCACCATGAAGGTGGGTGCCGTCATTCCAGTGGACATGGTCACCATAAAGAGCGTCTAGACTGTTGTCGGCTTTGAGTGGTGCGAGTAGCGATTTTCAGGCACTGTTGTCGCCATAATCTGTTGAACACCACAACTCAACGTGTCGCCTCTTGTAGCTATTATCAGCGTCAAGAACAATCGCAATGAAGATTCGCTACTTCAAGGACAAGAAGAACGACGACAATTGTACAGTAGCAACGACGACCACGTTCGATGATGAAGCTGCAATGGATCAGGTTGGTTGGCCGTTTCAAAAGAACTGGAACTTCAAGCTCGTTGTTTTCGTGCCTCATCTGAACTCTCATTACTTTTTCCGTTGTTGCATTATCTGTTCTTTTCCTTTTACGGCATTCCCTTCTGTTGGCTACGAACATGCCCCTCTCCTCGGATTCCTCGGTTTCCCAGGAATCCATATTGATTGGTGCTCTCGAAGACCTAGTCACTCTTGGATGTGAAGCGCTAGCGGTAGTGGGGAGAGATCTTGTTACTCTAAGCCTGAAGGACCCCGATGATGTGGATTGTCGTGACCGAAGGAACTATTTTTGGGTTGGCTCACTACATGGCACAGTGAAACTTCTAGTTCAAGCTACCGAACGTGGAGACGACTTCGAACGTGGTGACGACTTCGCTGATGCTCGCGACCTTCATGACGCATGCAAGGAAGGCTTTTGGATGGAAATTGACAATCTTCCAAATGAGCGAAAGGGAGAGCTTCTCTCGACTCTTGGTGAGCTGAAACTTCAGAAGAAGAAGCGCAAGGCTCGGATCTTAGCAGGCTTGCGTCGCTTGAATTGCAATCGCCGCAGCACTCGAAAGAACCATCGCGGCGTCGTATTCGGTATGCTAACCGACGCGCTTCGATTCGGTGAGTGGATTGGCAACGGGGTTGGGGATCTGGTTGTTGGCTTTCGTCGGCGAGGACGCGACGCCCCATCCGATTCAGCACCGAGCGATCAAGCTGTCGGCCATACCAGCAACACTGAGGGACGAACAAATGACGAGCTGATCGCGGAGAATGCGGCTTTGCGCGGAGACCTACGTAAGGCAATTGAAGAGCTGCGTGAGGCTCACGAGAAACATGAGGAAGCACTCAGCCGTCTTCGCAAAGAATTGGATACTACTCGCAAAGAATTGGATACTATGATCGAGCAACTTCCTACTATTCGAGAGGAGTGAACTTCGTTTAAAAAACCTTGCTCTTTGAGGCCCATTCTATTTCCAAGCTGAAAGCTCAATGCTCAATCTAGCTAGCTCTATTACTCATTCTAAACCAATTTTCACCCCTACTGCTGTAGTTCGCCATACTTGGATTACCTAGTATTCGTGAGACGCAGGAGTACCATAAACTTTAATAGAAAAGCCTCAACTGTGCAGCTGATTCCACTTTATAAAATATGCTCTTTCTCTCCCTTTTCCACAATTACGTACCGTGTTTTCTAAAGAAGGTAACGAGCTACTCCGGAGTAGGACGTACCGTATTAGTGCAAGAGTGTACAGTTGTTTAGAGCCACAGAACCTTCGACGCTCAACACCATGAAGCTGTACCGTATACGGAGCGTCCATCCGAGGCTTTCAACGAGTGCCAGCATCAACGAGCAAGGCTACACCGTACCAGTACCGCAGGAGAGGAGGTTCAGAGGAGCCAATTAATGAGGAGGACGGCTGCTCCAACTGACTGTTTTCTGCACAAGAGGACCAAACAAACAAGCATATTGATGGATGTACGGCCAAACGGGCTTCCCCGTGGACACCCTCCAGGAACAACCACTCGAGGCACAATCAAGTTTGAAAGGACTCCCATCTCCGGCGGCAGTATGTATGTCAGTTGGGTTCGCAGCCGATACTACCATGGGAATGCGATTAATCAGTACCGGCAAGCCTTGTTTTCCCAACACGCGAGCTTAATAATGATAGTTTGCGTCAATGTTTTGTAGTAGTCTGTATTCGAATCGTTCCTCCTCCTCCTCCCCGCTCCTCTACCATCATTCTCCCCATGAATTTGACCCATTCCCAGGGCAATTCTCGATAATACAATGCGGGAATGGCCCACCCGTCTTGCGCCCAGTCCTTGGTGACAAAATCACTGACACGAAAGGAGGATCCCTTGGAGGCCCCCCCTCCATTGTAATGAATCAAACCGATTCCGTCGGGTCGTAGTGCCAACAATTGTTGTCGTGTCACGTGCCGCCAATGTTTGGCCACTTGCAAATCCCATGTGGGCGACAGGACTTGTACAATGGGATCGTTGGGAAATGCTTGCGCCACTCCCAAAATGAGATTTTGATCGTGTTCAATCCGTATATCCCATTTTCGCTGGGGTACATAGTGATTCCAAAACTGATCTAATTTGGGAACATGGATCCACATGACACCGGTACACGATTCCGACATGATAAAGGTATACGTGGGATCGGCGTAGGGTAGCATTCCGGCCATGTTGGCCATGACGGCCACGTCGGTATCGAGATAGAGCATGAATTCGGGTGGATTGGGAATGACTTGTTGTGGAAAGAGTCGAAAGTAAGCGCCGACGGTGTGATGCTCCGTGGCAGGATAATTTTGATGATTGACGCGTTGACGAATATATTCCGACCACTGGTCTACGTGGGATTGAACATTGTAGGTGGAAATGGTGATGTCTTGGAACCATGGGGCTCCCTGGAGTTGGATGGTTTCGAAGATTCCCTTGTGCGTGGCATTAGTGTGGTGCAGCGTTTGGAAGGCTTCTTGATCGGCCATAATGTGAATGTGTGTCGCTCGTTGATGAGGAGCATTCAGCAACACACTCTTGAGACAGACTTGGAATTCTTCAAAAAAGCCTGGATCGTTGCCCGACATGCCAAATAGTATATGCAGTGGTTCCAGAGAAGTAGTGGAAGAAGTTGTAGTGGAAGGAGGAGCATTGGCAGAGAGACTCTCTTTGTAGGAGGAAGAAGGGCAATCACCGGTCGTCGAACCCAATTGGAGGGAAAATTGCATCCCTGCTACCGATAGTCCCAAACAAACTCCAAACAGGAAAATCACCACCACCGATCTGGTGGACATTGCTGTCGAACCAGAGCCATCTTGACGGGCCTTGGGACTTCGAGGCATCTGCTGGGGGCACCGTACGAGTATCAACAACAGCAAGCAAATTGTTTGATTGATGGCGTTGTTGTGTGGTTTCGAATTCTTTGTTTCTTTCTTTTGTCTAAAAATAAATAAATACAGTAAATGAATCTTTGTTTCTTTTTAGTCTTCCGGGTCATTTGGGGTCATTTTTCTCATTTTTTCAGAAGTTCCGAAAATCCACGTCTCGAGTTGATTTGTTGGCGCGATGTCACCAACAGACACGAAGAAGACTTGAAGCTGGGAACCACGCGACGCAACAGATAAGATGTCCATTGCGGGGCTGACTATCGTACTACCGATATCACCATTCATTCGAAGAGAGATAGAGAGGGTTAATTGGCTTCACTGCTGATGGATGAAGAGACAGCGAAAGCGACAATCATTCACCTTTACCGCTTCAGTCTAATCAAAACGATAAGAGAGTCATTCCAACTGCTTCATGCAACCTGTCTCCTCGATACCACCACGAGAACTAGTGTCGCCAATCACTTGTATTATTGCTACCCTTTGATATTTTGTCTCCCGTTCGATCATTCGAGAGAGAGAATGATGAACATCACCGCCACCACGGCATCCTTCCTATCCGACAACACCGAGACATGGGGTGCTGTTGCCTGCGCCACCACGGTGGTGGTGGGTACATGGATTTGGTTTCGCAGTAGCAGCTCCACTCCAAAACGACAACGTCTTTGTCGAAATTTATCCTTTACATCCGCGTTTATGAATATGGGAACCTACCCTTCTCAAGCCAAGGCTCCTGAAGATATCCTCCATGTCTGCATGTATATGGAATCATGTCCCACAGATGAGGATATGGTAGAAACAGCCATCCAACCAATGCTAGTACACGATCGCTTTTCCATGATCCCCACTCGCGGAGACAAAACTGGAACTCTCCGCATGCCTTTCCCGCCCCTCGTGCCACAAAAAATGATGCGGCGCATCCAAGTGACATGTACCAACCACTTACACGACACCATTACGGAGCTGTTCCAACAGCCATTGGGAGGTGACAATAATCCGCGTGGTGATTTGCCACTCTGGGAGTTTGTCCTATTGGAGGTACGTACCGTGCCATTCGTTTTGTTTGGAGTGAACTACACGCATGGAATGAACTGCACTTTCTTGACTAACAACACCATGCACTTTTTTCAATGTCTGTAGAATACGGGCCCCGGTGATAGTGCCTGTATTTGGAGGGTCCACCACACTTTGGGAGATGGATTGTCTTTGGCGGCTCTCATGATGCGTCATGTGGTCAAATCATCACCCGACGGAGCGCCAATGTCCAGTGTTGCGACATTTTTGCCACCCACCATGATGTCCCAAAAGAGTAGTTCCTTGAAAGAACACGCTACCATTCCGTGGACCACACGACTCTGGCAACTACTCGATTGTGCGCTGCAGGTATTGTTGTTGCCGTCGACGCCCTTTGACGATCCCACCGCCTTTTCTAAAGGATTCTGCCAGCCGAATAATGTGAGTTTTCAAAAAAGCATACGCAGTACAAAGCGAACGTGCTTGGAACGAATGAATGAATGAGTAAACTCATCCTTTAGCTATCCGTTCATCTATAAGATCCACAGCGGAAAACGAGAGATTGTTCTTTTCCCCACGGTGCCGCTAAAACTCATCCAAAGTATCAAAAACACCGCCAGGGTTTCTGTAAACGACGTCATTGTGAGTTTTTAAGAGGCATACTACTGCAACCTGTGGTACTCCTGGAACGTCCTTAATACCGACTCATCCGTTGGTGCCTCATCGAATAGGTTACTTGTTTATCACAAGCTATTCATGACTATTGCCAAGAGCAAAACTGCCCCGTTCTGAAACAAAAGGGGCCCAATCTACAATGCCGCGTCCTGGTTGCCTCTGCCTTGCCGCGGGACGTGGAGAATGCTAACACGGAGGAACTATTGCAAAACAAATGATTCTTGCTTTCCGCAGACATGGCAGTGGGTTACAATAACATTTCGGAACGCCTCCAACACATCCACAACACTTTTCGTAGACTCAAAAAGAGTCCTCTGGCCCATGTGGGCATATGGGTGCAGAATCATGTCCTGAAATACGTTCCATTGGCCGTGAATCGAAAAGGAGTCTACGACAGCATGATCCGTCATTCGTTAGTCTTGTCCAATGTACCAGGACCCCAACAGCCCGTCATGGTAGCCAACAGAGAGATCAAGAGTGCCCGGGTGTTTTATTCCGGTATGAATGCCCACGTTATGGTCATGAGTTATCGGGGACAAGTCCAAGCCAACCTTACCGTCGATCCCCAACATGTTCCCAACAGTCAGACACTGGCCAAGCACTATCATCAAGCCATCTTGACATTGGCCAGAAGACTCGACGTTGCCATCCCAGCGGAAATGGAGAAGATTCCATTGTAGGTACCTTATCGCGATTGCTTAGTTCAAAGGCCCTCTGCTACTATGTCATAGCTAAATCATGGCAATTTTAAGTTGCTGGCACATGATCAAAGCTGGATGATTGAATTCTTTCAAAAACAACAATATCTCTCGGTAGCCATAGTTTGTTGAAAAATTGCTATTTTCAGTGACCTACAACAACAGTTCATTTGGACCAGCCTGTGACTGTGCCTTTGGTGCTAGCCAGAACTAGCCAGCTATCTCGTAGATACCGGTAGGTACGACAGGTACATGTAATGGTACCGTACACCAAGTTGGGCATTGCGGTACAGGTACACGCGCCCTTTTGCGCGAAGTTTGAAAGATCTTCCCCAATCAAATCCAAAATACAAAGATACTAGCTAGTAGCAACGGCTTTTGGGTTGGGTTGACCATCGCATGATGAAAACGCCGTTGGCTCTTCTCTTAGCCCTTCAGTCTCAGACCAGCAAAGTACTTTCTTTCTCCTCCAGAACCACAACTGGCTTTGGCTATAAAACTCTCGGGCCCTGCAGCATTCAGACTTTCGGTGCTAAGCGTACTTCTACCCGTACTTTTGCTACCAAAAGAAGCATGGCCACTTCAGACTCAAAATCACTCGTAGTGGATCCATTCTGCTTTCGTCAATTTGCAGAACAGGAAGCTAGCAAAACCTATGGAGGAGCAGTCTTGTAAGTCCGTTCCCAGCTCTAGCTAGTAACAAAGCTCTTGTTGGTGCTCGACGAGGCGCAACACGAAACGTGAGTATCCCTAACCCTGGTTGCTCGTTTTCACACAGTTCCAACACTGTGGCAGACTTTGAAGGGATTGTCAATGCTAGATACAAAGAAGAACAACTCAAGGAGGGTTATGCTCCCTTTTGCAAACATCTATTCATTCTCAATGACTTTACGCAAGCAAAGGTCAACGTACTGAAGATCACTCCTGAAAATGAAGGACTCCTCAGGTCCAGCTATGAAGCACGCAATGACAAGGAGTTGCCTGTGTTGCAACGGTACTTTCCCAAGGACCTTGTCAAAGAGGACGACCTGCCTGTGGCCAAATACTTGGACTTGATTCTATATTCGCGAGAGCAAATCAACAAGGTACGCACAGTGTATACACAGACGAATTGAAATTGAAATGCATCATAGCATAGGCTGGATACTCCTCGTGTATGCGCATTCGCTTGCTATCTCCCTCATCCCAATTCCTTTTTTTTTTATTCAATTCAATTTGGCAGGAAAATGAGTCCATGGGCAAGGAGAAGGACCCAGAAACAGCGCCATGGGGAATTGTCAGTATCAAAGCTCAAGATGTGGATTATGAACTGCCAATGACACCCATCACCGCCATGAGGAATGCCCTGGGCAAAGATCAAGGTGGGTCCGGAGTAAATTTGGACAGGGAAAAGTACATGGAAGCGGTCAATTATTGGAAGGATCATGCCAATGTATCCTAGGAGTAGAATTCAGCTAAGCCTATCCGTTGATATCGTCGGGCAAAAACAATGAGCAGCTAACGCATGATGATCCAAAACAGATCAATTATAGTTTCATTGTTGCAGTATCGTATCATAGATTCATTTCGCATTACCGTTGCATAAACGCGCAGTGTTAGAACGAAACCAAAATTTCAAACCTGCGAGGAGCATTGCCCAGGGACACACTGACATCGTATTCGTCAACATGTCCAATGCTACACCGGATGGAGGGCCCCATGTTGCTGGGGCAGCCATGGGCGCCGCGGCTGACACCGCCCTGTCCATTGGAGGTACTGCATGGTTGGGAGCTGTGGTCAACAAGGTCAAACAAATGTGGGACTAGACAGCGCAGAGCAGGAAATGGAACAGGCGATGGATTCGCAGGAGCTTGCGTGAACCAACTGTCGTCGTCCTGGGCCAATGAGTCCGCCTCAAACTTTGTATTGGAAAGACAAAAATGTACGTTCTACGCAGTTGCCCTGTTGCGCAACTTCTCACTCTCTTTCTTCAGGCAAATTGTCAAGGAAATTGTTGCCATTGAGGCCACCAAGATGGCCACGTCCTCGGTCAGCGTTGGAGCCACTACAATGGCCGCCACTGCAGCCCCCGTGGCCATGACAGCCTCGGTTAAGATTGCGATTATCGCTGCTGGCGTCGTCGAGGTGGGGTCCGACGTCACGGCAGGTGAAACAGCAGCCGACTCGGTTTACTTCTGCTTGGAACTACGTGTACTTGAACAAAGAACCAAGTATGCTGCGGGCAGATCCCATGGGAGTACGATTTGGGAGTCACTGTACCAAAAAGAGTACCGGTACCAAGGGAGCTTTAGCCACAGGACTTCCAGTAATACTCAAAACGGGCCAAGCGTATGCTCCGCGAAGAGGTCAAAGCGCGAGGTCTGACTGATGCCCTTTCTCTTCCTCGCGATGAGGCTGCCTGAAGGGGCTTTTTACTACATGTAGAAGGATGTGATGGGTTGTGAAAATGGAACGAGAGAAAAAGAGACCTGACGCTTTCTGTCCTTGCCTGATTGATGAATCTACACTGATGCTGCCTAAGCTACTGTCTTTGAATAGGATGCTGCTCTGCCTTCAAAATCTTCGACATCGTATTGTTTGTGCTGCTCTTCTTGAATAGGACAACGAGCTAATTCATGGAGGGTTCAAACGCACTCGCTTCCTCCGGTATACATTGTTCTCGTCGTCAGGATCTCTCTCCCAATATGAACAGTCTTCGGTGTCGTCTTGCACACGATGTCGCCAGCATGCCACCCAGATAGAAACAAACCCCGTTTCGTAATCATTTGATACTCTACTTGCGACGGGATACAGCTTACAATTCAGCTTTACAGCTTTACAATTAGCAGGCTTATTCTAGAAAATAATCAATAACTGCTCACTTATTTGGAAATACAAACTTTACATCTCTTAGATCCTTAGACTAGTCAATGCACAATGGTATTGTCGCATGGTAGCATGCGAGGTTATGAGATGTTACTCATTCTTATTCTTATATGTCTACCCCTTGTTATCATCAGTGGTAACCCCTCTTCTCGACTGGACTCGCTCGAAAGCAATCCCCTCGTTCTTACTCCTATTGACGATCGTAATCTCAATGAGGATCCTGTCTTGGATTCGCTCGAAAGCAATCCCCTTGATTGCTTAAGCAATCCCCTTGATTCGCTCGTAAGCAATCTCCCATATCCTGTCGTCGATCGAAATCGCGATGAGGATCCTATATTATACCATGGACTCCTATGGGAGTCCACCTTTTGCGATCCACCGAGCGCTATATTATACCATGGACTCCTATGGGAGTCCACCTTTTACTATCCGAGCGCTAACGAAGCCGCTACTGATACTGATACTGTTACTGCTACTACTACTACTGTTATCTCTATCACCGGTAAAGCCTTGCATCACCTCTTGCCTCGTCTCCGAGTCAATCGCGACGGAGATAACAGAGATAACAAAACTCGTCGAAAAATGAGGTTCGACTGCATATATAAGGCTCGGCCTGTGTGTCATGCCTTGAGTCATGCTTCGGGAAGGCTGAGCCATGCTTGCCTTATATCTTCGAAGCAAACTCCTCACTTTTTCATTTCGAAATATCGAACGTACGTGAAGAACAACAACAACAGCCCGGAGCGATCGATGGCTCGTGTTGTTGTTGTTGTTGTTGTTGGTCGATCGGCAGTTGGTCTCTGCTTACCCAGGACCGGCATTGGTCGTTTGAGCTGGCTTGCAGTTTTTGTTATTCAAATGAACGATTCAAACGACGACGAAGATTCAAACGACGAGAACTCGCTTGTCGACGCGAAAGATAACAGCTCGAACTCGCTTGTCGACGCGAAAGATAACAGCTCGACCGATTCGCCGAACTGTTGGAAAGCTCATAAATTCCAGCTTCGATTGACTCGATTGACTGGTCCATCAAGCTCCTCCTCTTGTTGTCGGTCCTGTTGCCACTGTTGCCACTGTTGCTCCTGTTGCCGCTCCTCCTATTGTTGCCATTGCCATTGCCCTCTTGTTGATTCTCACTTGATGGACCTTGACGACGCTTCCTCTGCCTCAGCATCTTCATCTTCAACAG